GTAGTTCTTTAATATGAACTTTATTATATGATTATTTTATTTACTCCTGTATATGCATTTTATTGTACGTGATAAATACCAAATAAAATCATCAGCCAGAGTAGCGTCGTGTTATTAATCAGCTGGCAGGTGCGGGGAATGACATATCCAGGTAGATAAACACAACACACCTGGTCTCTTCCCTGCAGTACGGTCTCATACACCTTTCTATTCCCCTTTAATACTACTACTACTACTACTACTACTACTACTACTACTACTACTACTAATACTAATACTAATAATAATACTAATAATAATAATAATAATAATAATAATAATAATAATAAACATCTTAGAATATACCATAAAATTTGTAATTAAGTTTCCCAACAACTATAATTCCCTATGAGATTAACCCCTTGAGTACTGAAGGGGTTAACTCATAGTAGTCAAAGGGTTAAGTCATCATAGTCAAAGGGTTAAAGATGGTACATGCTCTTTGATGTTTTAAGTGACTCATGGCTTCAAGTGACTCGTGGTTTCAAGTGACTCATGGCTTCAAATGACTCGTGGCTTCAAGTGACTCATGGCTTCAAGTGACTCGCGGCTTCAAGTGACTCGTGGCTTGAAATGACTCTTCGTTTGAAATGAATTATGGCTTCAAATGACTCATGGCTTCAAGTGACTCGCGGCTTCAAGTGACTCGCGGCTTCAAGTGACTCGTGGCTTGAAATGACTCTTGGTTTGAAATGACTTATGGTTTGAAATGAATTATGGCTTCAAATGACTCATGGCTTCAAATGACTCATGGCTTCCAGTGACTCATAACCTCAAGTGATTCATAATCATTAGTGAAGTCGTCAGCCACACCTGTTCTCAGCCACACCTGTGTGGATCTTCCCGTCCCTGAACAGCTGCATGTGTTGTTACGGGTTAATGTCACGTAATGATTACACTTAGAGGAACTTGATCACGCCATATTTTTACTCATCTGAACACAACATACTTAGATTAACTTAAATTCACTGTGTTGATGATAAGGGATTGTTAATTACATGTGCTACACACCTGACTACGTTGTTCCTCGAACACTTTTACAGCTTAGGACCCAAATACGCCTCAAACAGAGAGAAGCTCGGGAAGCAGCCATCCCCCTGGACTCCCCGCCCACCTGGTACGATGTCCTAAGTAAACTTCCTGACCTCTCGTATGTCTATGGGAAAGGATCGCGGAAAAGGGGACGTGATTGCTGCCCGTATCATCATTGGGTATGACTTTGCTTGGGAGATTGGTATCCCCGCATCCCCTGAGCAACGCTCTTGTGCATTATGCAGAAGACCCGACAGCAGCACCCTTATCCACTACCTCCTAAGATGTCCCCACACACAACGCTTCCGTGACGCCTGCTGGACCACCACTCCACGACTCCCTGACTTTGACACGATGATCCTCCCCAAACTGGCCAGATACTATGTAAATAATATTGATAATGTGTTAAAGGAACATCCTTCCTTCCTTAGGCTTTAGTAAGCCCCTTTATAATATTTATACTGTATTTACTTGTGACACTTGCCAGATGCTTCTGGTGTTATTGTACAGGGGTACCTAGTAGACAATTGCAGGTGTCTGTAGAGGGATGATCTTAAGTCAATTTACAAAATAAAATCAATGAAAAGAAAATTTTGGCAGATGTAGTAAGCAAAGAACTGGGCTGAAATTTATACATAATTATAGGTATAAATGTAGTCAAATGCAATAAATTTACAATATACAATATCTGTTCAATTATCAGTTTAATATTTATATGTATTTTGCTTCCGATTGTTGAGCATTTGGATGTGTTAAACCAAAACTAAATACACAAAAAGAAAAGAAATGAACATGTTTTTATGGCTTCTATTCACATATTCTCATTAAAACACCTTTCAAAACGCTTAAACTCGCAGGGCGGCGTTATAGATTGCTAATTATCACAGGTAATTCTAATCAGCATTTTACACACCAGGTAAGGCGTCTTTTCGTCAGCTATTACAGATTTGCATAACGAAAAGTGCATTTGAAGTAAAATGTAGAGAGTAAGTTTGGTCCATCAACAGGTGTGGTGGAGGAGGTGGATAGGTTACCGTCGAACACCTGCCGGGACCTGTCATAGTTCCCACAGGTGAAACTTGATTAGTGAGAGAGGAGCCGAGGGGAAGATTGGGGGAGAGGGGAAGTGGGAGGGTTGGTGAAGAGGAAGGGGAGGTGAAGAGGGGAAGGGAGGAAGTAGAAGAGGAAAGGAAGGGAAGAGGAGATGGGAAAGAAAGGGGAAAAGAGGGTGGAGAGAGAGAGAGAGACTGCCATAGAAATAATAACAGAAGAAGAAAGTCACATAAAACGGAAGAGGAGAGATAGAGAAAGAGAGAAACATGAAATATAACTAAAGAAGGGAAGTGTACAGGAGGAAGGAGGCCAAACAAGAAACAGAGAATTCTTATGTTTAGACTCTTAAGTTGAGCCTTTGGTGTAATTATCGTATGGAAAGATTCTGTACCTGTATCTGTACCTGTATCTGTACTTGTTTAATTATTTATATACCTGTACTTGTATATGTACCGTAACTACATCGGTACTTATATCTATACAGGTAGATGTATCTGCAATTGTATCTCTACCTATAGCTGTAGTTGTCTCGTTACCTGTGGATATGTTGAAGTCTCTAAATAATGTATCTTATGTAATTTAGAATTTTGAATACAGTGAGTCGCTACAGGCTCCTGGTGACTCAGCAACCTAACCTAACCATTTTTTGTTAACTTGCAGAAATACAAACAAAATTTTCTCTCTATTAAGCACACACACACACACACACACACACCCACACACCCACACACACACACACACACTCTTACTTCCACGTGTGGGTGCATGCGTATACAGATGCGGAAAATGTAATGAGGTGCAAATAAACTTGTGTACGGATTCGTTGAAGGTAGGTAATGTCTACGTGTCTGTCGTGTCTGTCGTGTTTGTTGTGTTTCGTGGATACACTACTGGCTACCGCGTGAGAGTTGTGTTGTGTACTAACTTATTCAGGTATAATGAAGTAATAGCTTAACACCTTCAGTTCTGGCTTATGGCGTTGTTATCAACCACATAATTGATTAAATTACTCTGGTAATCCTGTCAGGCAGCCAGGCAGAGCAACAGGTGTTCCTGCGCACACACTGCACACGGGCTGGTGGTCACATTTATCAAGACCTAATTACCTTTAAATTAACCAATAAGTGATGTAATAACAAAACTTGGCTTGATTATCAATGTTTTTCCAAAGTATTTTTTAGTTTTTTGATAAATATTGATGTGTACACACACACACACACACACACCTGTACCTCACACACAGACACACACCTGTACCTCTCGTATCGCATCACATTACGATATTGATATTTTCACTGAATTATATCCAATTATCGGTAAATTATTGCCTCCTATATAAGTCTACTACAAGATGTACCACTTAGTTATAGCATTCATATATAGTACTTGATTTACATTCACGTATAATATCACGACCTTACTGTAAGTCGATAGATTCACTTAATCCCGAAGAAGGTTAAGGAACATTATGCATAAGAACATAAGAACAAAAGAAAATAAGGAGTCTGCAATAGGCAGGTTGGCCAGTGCATGGCAGCTCCTGTCGAGAGTTACTACCACTCTCTATCATCCATGAATCTATCTAGCCTCCTTTTGAAACTTTCCAGAGTTCCCGCACTTACTACAAAGTTGCTAAGCTTGTTCCACTCGTCCACCACCCTATTTGTGAACCAGTTCCTTCCTATCTCCCTCCTAAACCTAAACTTATCCGTTGCTCCTAGTCCTATCCTGCTCGGATATTATAAGAACTTTATCTATATACCCTTTATTGATTCCTTTCACCCACTTAAATACTTCTATCACATCTCCCCGCACTCTTCGTCTTTCTAGGGAATGCAAGTTTAGTTTCTTGAACCTATCCTGATATGGAAGGTTTCTAAGTCCCGGAATCATTTTCGTCATTCTTCGCTGCACCGACTCTAGTGAATTGATATCCATTCTATAATAAGAGCACCAGAACTGAACCGCATAATCGAGGTGCGGCCTGACGAGTGCAAGATATAGTTGCAATAAGACCTCTGTACTCTTATTCCTTACACTCTCTGTCCATGTAATCCAGTTGCCTCTGAAGATGTATTGAATAAGGACGAAAGCTAATATGCTCCGTTGTTTCCCTTTTGCCGTGTGATTTTATCAATATATATATATATATATATATATATATATATATATATATATATATATATATATATATATATATATATATATATATATATATATATATAGTGTGTGTGTGTGCATGTTTTCTATACATACAGGTATTCAGTGAAGAGGAAGGTGAGCTCAAGAGCCTGGCGGTGCATGACTCTTGTGTCAGAAGGACGTGAGAACAGAACAATATATAAACTGTAAATTATATAAATAATCCATCATCATAAAAAAATAAGTATAATAAATACAAACACTAAAAATGATCTATAAATATGAACAAAGAAAAATAACAACATTAATAATTCATATTAACATAAACTCCTAAGTGTAAAAACTATTTGATCTGAGCATCTCTTGAGCTCTTCTGGGCAACACTAAAAGTTCTTTTTTGCAAACGCGCACACGTGCATGCGCGCACACTCACTCTGACACTGGAATAGTATAATACAAGGCTGATACATCGGGTGTCAACCTCTCCTGAAGGTAGTAAAAGGTTGATAATATAACACAAAAGCCTTATAAACAGGTCCACCGCCCGGTAATATTATCAAAGTATTGCTCCTCACGAGATGTGTCCAGTTGTACAGGCTCACCCAAAAGTTCGTTAACTCTCCCAGTCAGCTATTGCTGCACTGCCTGCTTCAGATGTATGAACCTGAGTCTGTTACTTCGAACCTTTAGGTTCATTCGTATCGGTTTCATGTTCTGGTTGGTACCGAGTCAGTTTCAAACATTTGAAGCAGGCAGTGCAGCAATAGCTGACTGGGAGAGTTATCGAACTTTTGGGTGAGACTGTACCTTGGTAGTAGAGGCCAGGTCGTCTGCTTACTCGACCTCAGGGCAGTATAAGAGGTATACTGGAGTTTCTTACTCTTTCCAGGGTTCCAAACACCGTGTGACGCATGCGGTGTATGGTGTATAGACACACCGGTTCAACTTCCACCTTCGACAGTAGCCGCTCCGGGATCTTGTAGCGCCACGCCTCGAATTCCGATTTGCTTTTCTTGATGGTTCCCATGGCGTTGGGTTTTACTTCCGTGTTCATGTGTAGATTTATGTAACGCTGAGTAGCAGTTGGTAGACTGGAATTACCGAAGAGAAATTTGAAGATATTGCCAATGGCGTTCTCAGGATGGAGACACAAGTCCTCGAAGTGGACCTGAAGTAACTTGGATGGAAACTTTGGGGAGAGTTTATCGTACGCGTCCATGTCATCTTTCATGACTGAACACCTCTCATGGGGATCGTGTGGCCAAGTTGGCCCAAACTTGCTGATAGAGTTAAGGGAACCTCGGGGGTCCCTAGTGAGGTGTATGATCTTGAGGTTAATCTTAGGATCCGACAATATATCTTTCAGCCATGATATCCTTCCGCGGATCACCTTCATGATCCTGACGGGCGCCGCTCGGCACATCTCGGGAAGACTCAACTTATTAAGGCACTCGTTTTTGCTTTTGTTGTCTTTCATCATGAGGCAAACTCTCACGTCTGCGTTGAAGTAGGAGAAGAAGCCGTGTCTCCCCATCAACCACTTCTCGAAATCCGGCTTGAAAGTACAAGTGAAAGCCGCCAACAGGTACTCAGTCGCACACAAAGGGTCTTGGATGCACTCCATTTTCTCTATGTACCAGAGAGGCTCAAAGTACACGATAGACCTCTGTATGGTGGAGAGTAACTCCGACATAAACGTGGAGCCGCCACGAGCCAGCGAACTCAACAGCAACACGAACATGGGCGAGGAAGAGGTGGCAGGGGGAGACAACCTGCCACCACCCTCTGGATATTCCCTGGCCTCTCCTTCCTCGTTTTCCTCATTATTATTTCCTGACGCAGGCTCTGGATTTCCTTCAGCTGTCATCCCCTTAGCAATGTCTTTGGTGTTTGGGACCCTGTGTCGTACTCCACCCAGTGACGCAGACAACGACTGGTTGGGAGTTCCTTCAGTCGTCCACAGCCCTCCGCCTGAGAATAGAGTATAATTACATAAAGTACAGGACAGGATACGACCGAGAGAGAGAGAGAGAGAGAGAGAGAGAGAGAGAGATTCACCATTATGCTTCAGTAGACATCTGAGACGGGTCAACACCATCATAGAAAGTGTTAGGCAACATAATGTACATTTGTACATCCAGCACTATAAACTATATTGCGCTGTATATGCTATATGTATACAGTATACTGTATGTACCTCATTGCTTATATTTCTGGTATACATCCACAAGTAGCCATAACATAGAGTCAGATAATCACAAAGCAGACGATACACTACTAGCTATACATAACTAGCGATACACTACTAGCGATACACTACTAGCGATACACTACTAGCGATACAGAACTAGCGATGCACCACTGGCAATACATCACTAACGATACATTACTAGCGATACACTGCTAGCAATACACTACTAGCGGTACACTACTAGCGGTACACTACTAGCGATACACTACTAGTGATACACTACTAGCGATACATTACTAGCGATACACTACTGGCGATACACTACTAGCGATACATCACTAGCGATACACTACTAGCTATACATCACTAGCGATACAATACTGGCGATACACAACTAGCAACACACCACTGGCGTTACACCACTAGCGATACATCACTAGCGATACACCACTAGCGATACATCACTAGCGATACACTACTAGCGATACACTACTAGTGATACACTACTAGCGATACATTACTAGCGATACACTACTGGCGATACACTACTAGCGATACATCACTAGCGATACACTACTAGCTATACATCACTAGCGATACAATACTGGCGATACACTACCAGCGATACACTAGTAGCGATACATCACTAGTGATACACAACTGGCGATACATCACTAGTGATACACTACTAGCGATACATCACTAGCGATACATTACTAGCGATACACCACTAGCGATACACTACTAGCGATACACTACTAGCAACACACCACTGGCGTTACACCACTAGCGATACATCACTAGCGATACACCACTAGCGATACATCACTAGCGATACACTACTAGCGATGCATCACTAGCGATACACTACTAGCGCACACTACTAGCGATACAGCGATACATCACTAGCGATACATTACTAGCAATACACCACTAGCGATACACCACTAACGATACACCATTACCGATACACCATTACCGATACATCACTAACGATACACCACTAGCGATACATCACTAGCGATACATCACTAGCGATACACTACGAGCGATACACTACTAGCGATACATCACTAGCAATACACTACTAGCGATACACCACTAGCGATACACCACTAGCGATACACCATTACCGATACATCACTAACGATACACCACTAGCGATACATCACTAGCGATAACTACTAGCGATGCCTCACTAGCGATACACTACTAGCAATACACCAGTAGCGATACATCACTAGCGATACATCACTAGCGATACACTACTAGCGATGCATCACTAGCGATACACTACTAGCGATCTACTACTAGCAATACATCACTAGCGATACACTACTAGTGATACACCAATAGCGCTGCATCACTAGCGATACACTACTAGCGATACACCACTAGCGATACACCACTAGGGATACACCACTAGCGATACACCACTAGCGATATGTAGTGATGGGTTGTCAGACCACAGCTTACATCGCAAGGAAAGCCAGACTTGACCCGACATTAGGGGGGTCAAGTGTAGGGTAACTCTCACGGTTGACCAAGGTTTATAAATCAGCCAGGCTCCCCTCCCATGTGACATGTCACCACAACAAACATGTAAGAAGGCACCAGCCGACTCTCTCCCAATATACAATAACCTACATCGCAGAGAGAGTCCAGACCTGACCTCACATTAGCCAGGTCAAATGTAACCCTCGGAGCCCAACTCAAGGGGCCACAAATCAACCAGGGCCTCTCATGTCACACGGCCCCACCTGATGACTTCTCCAGAAAATACAACTTATAGTCTCTGAAAACGTCCAGACCTGACCCTACATTAGCGGGGGCAAATGTAAGGAGACCCTTCGCCGCCGCCCCCAGATCAGCTCAACCTGACGGCTCGCCTCCCAATATATAGGACGTCCTAGTCCTCCCTGAAGGACTTTCGCAGACAGGGAGTGAGACAGAGAGACACACAGGGATCGGAGGAGGAGGTCCACCACAGCCGAGTCCTGCTCGAGAGAAGTCAGGGACCGGAGGCAAGCCGCCTCCGGTCGCCTCCGGTCGCCTCCGTTCAGGACCGAGACTTCCCTCGGGCGCCCAGCTAAGCAGTCTCCCATAGAGACAACCCAGGACCACCTGCTAGGCCTCCCCTAGGTCACGTGAGTGTTTGTCAGAGCTTTCCATGGGATGAGTTACCTACGTGGGAAGTGTATTCATTTCATGTTCGTGTCCGAGAATCAGAGTGTCTAGTAACGTAATATGATGTCCTAGTAACGTAAATATAATGTCCTAGTAACTTCAATAGAAGGTGTTATTAATGTGTCCATGTCATGTTCGTAATTAATAAAGAGTTGTAACGAAGCAGTGCTTGAGAAGTCGCCTTAAGACGTAATAGATGTGTATTGACGTAGAAGATACGATAAGTGTAAATATCTATCACGGCCACGCTACCAAAATCTTCCTCTCTTTTACTCTCTTACTAAATATTCTACCTATATATATATAAATATTCTTCATGCAAGATCCGTCTTGTTATAGATACATCACTAGCGATACACTACTAGCGATGCATCAATAGCGATACACTACTAGCGATACACCACTAGCGATACACCACTAGGGATACATCACTAGCGATACATCACTAGCGAAACACTACTAGCGATGCATCTTTACTGACGATACACTGGTAACGGTACTCTACTAGCAATTCATCACTAGCGATACACCACTAGCGATGCATCACTAGCGATACACTAGTAGCGATGCATCAATAGCGATACACTACTAGCGATACACTACTAGCGATACACCACCAGCGATACACCACTAGCGATACATCACTAGCGATACATCACTAGCGATACATCACTAGCGATACACTACTAGCGATGCATCACTTGCGATACACTACTAGCGATGCATCACTAGCGATACACTACTAGCGATACACTACTAGCGATACAGGATTGCCAGATCACTCGCTTCCTATAGTCTTACCTTCACTGTAGCTGTATATCATAATGATGCCAAGAACAAAATAATGAAGAACAATCACCACCGCAACCAAGGTAAATAATTTAAGTAACTTGATCTTGAGCGCCATGGATGATCAGTGGTTCTTCAGGGTGGTTGATCAGGTTGGTTGATCAGTGGTTTTTCAGGGTGGTTGATCAGGTTGGTTGATCAGTGATTCTTTAGGGTGGTTGATCAGGTGGTTGATCAGTGGTTCTTCAAGGTGGTTGATCAGTGGTTCTTTAGGGTGGCTGATCAGTGGTTCTTCAGGTTGATTTGATCAGGGTGGTTGGTCAGTGGTTCTTCAGGGTTGCTCATCAGTGGTTCTTCAGAGTGATTTGATCAGGGTAGTTGATCAGTGGTTCTTCAGGGTGGCTGATCAATGGTTCTTCAGGGTGATTGATTAGTGGTCCTCAGGTATGATGATGTTATTTGTGTATGTAACTGTTCTTCTTGGTGGTTGAGGCAATCCAATATTTGCAACTGATTGGCTAAGCAACCGTGAAGGAAATGATTCGGTGATTATAGTGGAATCTTTCTTTGATGGGAATCCAGTTACATAGAGTTGATTGGCCAAATATGTGGGCTGTTCAGAAAAAACACCCACATGCGTCTACCACTGGAGGTTGTTTAATGTGCACCTGTGTGGCAGGGAGTCTCACTAAGGATTAAGCTCTAGCAGATGTGGTAGCTTTACACACCACTTCCCTCCAACCTCCCATCACGCCTGGTAATGTACAGATGTTACGCCACCAAATCTCTTCGAGGTGATTGTACCAAACACTAATTATTTATCATTCTTTAACCCTTTTTATTCATATTTTGTTATACATGATAGATTCGAGGTTTTATTCACTTGGATAACGTTTCCTGACCATGGGCTTTCTCACAGGAAATGCTTTGTGAAGAAACATTAGAAGGATAACTATCTCTGAATACATTTCCTGTGTTAAAATTTATAATAATATTCTATTCTTAATATTATTATCATTACTACTTTTAATTACTAAGGAAGAGAAACTCTTATTATATTATCAAATTTATTTCAAGAATTTAATACCGAGGACATAGGACAGTGCCAGCTGTGTTGACACGATGAAGCATCATAATCTCTAGAGTACGAGGACTTAACTTTAACCCCTGGAGTACGATGACTTTATTCCTAGAGTACGATGATTTTATCCCTAGAGGACGATGACTTTATCCCTAGAGTACGATGACTTTATCCCTAGAGTACGATGACTTTATCCCTAGAGGACGATGACTTTATCCCTAGAGTACGATGACTTTATCCCTAGAGTACGATGACTTTATTCCTAGAATACGATGACTATCCCTAGAGTACGATGACTTTATCCCTAGAGTACGATGACTTTATTCCTAGAGTACGATGACTATCCCTAGAGTACGATGACTTTATCCCTAGAGTACGATGACTTTATTCCTAGAGTACAATGACTATCCCTAGAGTACGATGACTTTATCCCTAGAGTACGATGACTTTATTCCTAGAGGACGATGACTTATCCCCCTTGAGTACGATAACTTAATCCCAGGAGTAGATTACACCTTGGTGGTGGTGGCGGTGGTGATGATGATGGTTTCGATGGTGATGTTTGTGGTGGCGGTGGTTGTGACGGTTGGTTTTGTAGTTGGTGTTGTGGATGCGATGGTTGCGATTGTGGTAGTTGTGATTGTGGTGGTTGTGGTGATAGTGGTGGTTGTGGTGATACTGGTGGTTGTGATAGTGATGGTGGTGATAGTGGTGGTTGTGGTGTCGAACTCTCCTGAAGGTAATAAAGTCATTGTTGATAAGGTAAACGCAAGAGCTTCTCAAACAGCTCCGTCAGTAGGTAATATCACCCCACTACCATAGTCCCTCCTTGTGTCATAGTCTCATTAGTGTGGACATTCTTCCTCTTCTGCTGAACATTTTACTGTCCACTACACAAAGAATTGGCCAATGAGGTCGCAACATTGTTAAAAAATGTGGACATTTACCTTTTTGGTCTTTCTCAAATATCATGAAAGTAAAGATCAATAATGTGAAGACTGAGTAGATGTTATTTGCCCCATGTGAGTTGTCGCGTGGGGTAGGAGGGTAAGGGAGGGGCAAGGGGACGGGGGTGAGGGGGCAGGTGAGGGCGAGGGCGGGTGATGTGGACTAAGGGGGGGGTAGTGGAGGCGGTGGGGTTCATTGCTTCTGGGGGTGAGCAAGAAGGGGTTCAGGGTGATACTTAGTGGAGTTTGTGTGATGAAGTTGGGGACGTGGTGGAGGTGTTGGGGATGGTGGGGTGTTGTTGGGATGGTGGGCGTGTTGGGGATGGTGGGGTGTTGGGATGGTGGAGGTGTTGGGGATGGTGGGCGTGTTGGGGATGGTAGAGGTGTTGGGGATGGTGGGCGTGTTGGGGATGGTGGAGGTGTTGGGGATGGTGGGCGTGTTGGGATGGTGGGGTGTTGGGGATGAGGTGTTGGGGTAGAGTTGATGGGGTGGGGATGGTGGAGGTGTTGGGGATGGTGGAGGTGTTGGGGATGGTGGAGGTGTTCGGGATGGTGGGGTGTTGGGATGGTGGGGAGTTGGGGATGGTGGAGGTGTTGGGGATGGTGGGTGTTCTGGATGGTGGAGGTGTTGGGGATGGTGGGCGTGTTGGGGATGGTGGAGGTGTTGGGGATGGTGGGGGTGTTGGGGATGGTGGGGGTGTTGGGGATGGTGGGGGTGTTGGGGATGGTGGGGGGAATCAGTACAGTATGATCTTCACCGGATGTGTCACTGAGATAGTGGACAGCAACAAAAGGTCAAGGTCCGTCGCTTGAGGAGCGCCTTGGTCTGACGTAACAACATGTACACTTGTACAGTCAGCCAAAGATCCAGCGTCCCCACTCTGGGTTTTGTACTGGCATTTTTACCTGGCAATACTTTGGTAAAGTAAGGCTGTATGTAAAGGTGATTGTAATTGGTGGATCTATTTGCTAAAATAAAAAAAAATTCGATCTGAGAATCTTGTGGCACCCCCCGTTGTAGTTGAGTTGCCAGTTTATTAATATACTTTCTTCATTATTTAAGCAAATATACGAACATATGGAAACTTGTCATGACCTTGAATAGCAATGAATAGTTTATTATTAAAAACATTCTACCTTTGGTTTGTTTAACATTTTTCCTGACAGTGATACAGCTTAAAATAGATCCACCAATCACAATCACCTTTACATACAGCCTTACTTTACCAAGTATTGCCAGGTAAAAATGCCAGTACAAAACCCAGAGTGGGGACGCTGGATCTTTGGCTGACTACTACGTAAACCCTAGTTCATAAACATAAACAAGTTTGTATATATTTTTAATTTGTTTAAACTATGCATTTTTTCTCATTATCCATACTCACTAACGAGGTCACTTAAGCAGAGGCTCTTGAATGTCCTCATTACCGGGGTACTGTACAGTATATAGCGCTGCTTATGGTCGTGTGGACGCGGCCATTTGTGTATAACATCAGCAACTTCATGTCAGTATCAGAGGAATAATGGAATTTTTTGCATTTTTCGAGGTGCCAAACACCGCGTGATTCATGCGTTGTATAGCGTAAATACACGAAGGTTCAGCCTCCACCTCCTGCAGTAATTTCTCCGGGATCTTGTAGCGCCACGCCTCGAACTCTTTTTTGCTGTCTTTTGTAGTGCTCATTGGGTTGTTTTGTCCTTCCTTGGTAGTGTGGGAGGTGAGGTGTATGCGGAGGGCGGCAGATAGGTTGGAACTGCCAAAAAGGAAATTGAAGATGTCACCGGTGACGTTTTCAGGGTGAAGACACATGTCCTCTAAGTGGATCTGTAGTAACTTAGAGGGAAACTTCTGGGAGAGTCTGCCATAGGCGTCTATGTCATCCTTTAGTGCAGAGCATCTCCCTTGGAGATCAAGACCCCATCTTCCGAACTTCCTGATGGAGTTGAGGGATCCGCGGGGATCTCTGGTGAGGTGGATGATCTTGAGGTTCATCAGCGGATCCGACAACATGTCTTCCAGCCACGAAAGTCTCGCCCGGATCACCTTGATGATCCTGACGGGAGACTCTTCACACATCTCTCGGAGACTCAGGTTATGGATGCAGTCGCTGCTCTTCTTTTTGTCTTGCTTCAGGAGACATCTTCTCACGTCTGAATTAAAGTAGGTAAGAAAACCATACTTTGCTTTTAACCACCTTTCGAAATCAGGTTTATAATTACAAGTGAACACGTCAGTCAGGTATTGTTCCACACACTTCTCGTCATTAATACACGCTTTCTTCTCCACCGGCCAGAGGGGCTCGAAGAACACGACGGACTTGTGTATCTTCCCGAGTACCTCCACCATGAAGGTGGAGCCGCCGCGAGCCATTGAACTCAGCAGCAACACAAACATGGGCGAGGAGGAAGAAGCAGCCTCGGAATTATCTTTCTTTCCCTCACGCTTATCTTCCTCGTGACTCCTAACCTCCTGCCCTAACACACCGTCTTGGCCAAAACCCCCGCCCGGTGCGTCTTGAGGTACTCTGTCCAAGATAGAGAGTTGATGGCTGTCATCCTCCGATCTGGACTCTGAAAATAAGAAGTAGAGAAAGAGTTTTACTTCAGCTGAGGTTTTCCCAGAATTAGAAGAAACAAATTATTTCAGTGTATTTAGCGACCAATGGCATAACAAATATAACGATATTACACACAAACGTAACAGAGAACACTAGAATTTGTTCGTTTATTCATAGTAACAGAAAAGATTCTCTGAGAGTGAATCAGGAAAGGGGCAAGGTGTCGGGAGAGTCAGGGAGGAGGCAGAGGCAGGGAGAGGAGATAGGCAAGGAGGTGAAGGAAGAGGTAGTGATGGGGAGAGGCAGGGAGAGGAGAGAGGCAAGGAGGTGAAGGTAGAGGCAGGGAGGGGGGGATAGGCAGGGAGGGAGGAGAGACATGTAGGGAAGAGAGGCATGGAGGGAAGAGTCAGGGAGGGAAGAGAGTCAAAGAGGGAGGAGAGTCAAAGAGGGAGGAGAGTCAGGGTGAGAGGAGAGGCAGGGTGGGAGTAGTGGCAGGGAGATAGGATAGTCAGGGAGGGAGGAGAAGCAGGGAGATAGGACAGTCAGGGAGGGAGGAGAGGCAGGGAGGGAGGAGAGACATGGGGGGAGGAGAGTCAAGAAGGAAGGAGAGGCTGAGCGAGAGGAGAAGCAGGGAGGGAGGAGAGGCAGGGAGGGAGGAGAGGCAGGGAGGGAGGAGAGGCAGGGAGGGAGGAGAGGCAGGGAGGGAGGAGAGGCAGGGAGGGTAGTGTCACCTGAGGGTTGTTCATAGCCTTACCTCTGTCCTGTTGGCATATGTCACCCAACTGAACCCCGACGTAATAGAGCGACACGGACACTGCAACACACATGAGCATCTTGACCAGTTTGATTTTGAGAGCCATCACTTGTTGTCCTTGTTGTTGTTAAGAGAAATACATCACTTGACTGAATGTCCCGGCGGGGGGAAGGGGAGGGGGGGTGGTAATTCACTTACGATATAAACTTTCTTGAAGGGAAGGAATAACACATAAGTTTAGCAGGTTGAGAGTTCTGTTGGGAATGAGATACTTGTGTAGCCTCCTGCGTGTGTGTTTAGAGAGATACTGACGCCAGAGACCAGCTGATGTGGACGCTTCCTGTTTCCACACTTTAAGTACAGTTGTCTTATCTCTCCACGCTAAGTTTGTACATGTTTAGGTGGCATTAAACACAGACTCATGAGGACAAAAATAACATCTTTACTTAATTTGCACTGTTATCTAATCGTGATATATCCTCAAAAAACTTTATATGGAGAGAGAAGGATTTTGTTTTATATATTATGATAAGTGAACGTTGGAACCGCTGGTCACACACTTTAATTTGGCGGTATATCTGAAGCCTCGAGACTAATTAGTTTGGTGTAATATGATTTAATGAGAATCAATATAAAGCCAGTTGCCATAGCCAGGGTTCAGGTGTACTGCTCTAAACGAGGTATGTTGTTCCTCTCACCTGAAATATTACCCTAGTTTGGAAACACAAATTATCAAGGTACAAATATTATGGGATGTATCTTAAGGGGATATTGCCATATTCTCCCGGGTCATACGCAGGTGTTACAGCCAATGACATAATTACTGTGGGTGTGTCTAACATTGCTTCTCTCACCTCATCTGTGACACAAATTTCAACTCACTAAGAAAAAGGTTGAAAATAAACCGAATCAACATTCACGTCGCAGATATCCACAAATGTGTTTACAAACGACCTCAACATGTTGGAGGACGAGTGTTGATTGACAATACACTGTAGACGATAAAAGATAAACTTGAACTTTGGTTTACATATGTGAAAAAAGCCATTACTTCATAAAGGAACAGAGTTATCAGGAAGTAACGCCGATCTGCAAATAAAACTCGTTCATTCAGTCTACGTAACAGGTTAATTATTACTTGTAAGTGCCCGGTCATGACCCAGGTAGGAGGGCATCACACACAGGTACAGTACCACCCTTTATGTGATATTATGGTTATCTCTTGAGGACAACATACTAAAGTGGACAACTTCGGCTGCAATCAGTCACCCACAGGTGGTGTTGTTCCCTCCGTCTGGCCCTGGGAGGTGGAGTGGGCTACGTTCACTACGGAGAATCGTAGCTCGTTATAGTGGGGACTAAACGGCTTGTGACATCATCGCGCACTGCATAAACAAACAAGGTGGCTGCTATGGTTACTGTTATCACGGCGTGAGTGTTAACGGTGTCCTGCAGAAGTGATGACTTATCATGTACGTCCGGTTAGGATTTTTGAAGCACAGGCTTTCCTAAACCACATAGGACCTACACCACAATAAAAGTTACTGTTCCTCCTCTAGTCGCCATCTTTCTTGTTTATAAACATCTCGGCACTACGGAGCTACCCACCTCAGCTTGCCGTAGTGTTCGTAGCGTTACATAAACTTGAAATCGCCGACTACGCTGCAGTTCAGTTGTAAAAGTAGTACGACGAAAGCTACGAGTCGCGTAACTGAACACGCAGTGCCGCACGGTTTGAAATGTTTGCGTTTAACTATGTCGGTTATGAGCACAATATCATTTATACGGCGTGTATCACCTTCGTAAAGTAATATACAGTAAGTCTATGATAGAGAGTAACTTTAGACAACAGATAAACAGAGGTAAGATGTTATAAGCAATCAGCTTACAGGTGCCAGAGACAGTACAGGGAACAAATGAGAATGGGAGATTACCTCCTTTCTTTCTAAGGGATGGGGGAGGGGGGGCACTGCTGTCGTCACGTATATCAGATAACATACTGTATTGTATATATGCTAAATTGTAAACAAGATTTATCTATGATGTCAAGACCTTCTGTTGCTACTTTGAAGAGCTTCAGGTCCGACACATCAGAACACTAGCTAGCTACACGGTAGTAATGACCCTTGAAGTTGACGGCCAGCAGATTAAACACAACAACAAAAACAAAATGTGTCTCACAACAGGATACAGATTTATGAAAACGTGACATAGCTAATCACTCCTGCCCCCTCACTAGGGGAAAGGTCACGGCAGGGTTAGCTCCCGAGGGGTAATTATCAGATATGGCCAGTGCTATGTGTGGTCTTGGGTGTGCGAGTTTGTTGACCAAACTGGAGTGGTCCATGGAAGAATTGGCGAGGGCCAAGGAAGAAATTGAGAGGGCCACGTTGGAGAACCTGAAATTAAAGGAAGAGCTGGCGAAATTAAAAGGAGAGCCAGTGTCTGACGAAAACTCAAGCGAGTGGAAGGTGGTGAGTAGTGGGAAGACGAAGCTGGTGGTGAAGAAGTACACCAAGGATACGACAACAACGACAACAACAGCTAAGTGTACCAACCCGTTCAGTCCCTTGATAGACGAATTGGACGTTAGTACAGTCAGGGACAGGGATGACAAGGAAGGTATAAAAACTTTAATTGTTGGTGACTCACAGGTAAGGTACATGGACAGGGCCTTTTGTGGTAAAAACAAAAATAGGATGAGGGTATGTTTGCCAGGAGCTGGGGTGGGGGATATAATTGACAGGATGGACAATATCTTGTCTGGTAATGGGAACAAACCCATTATCTGCCTCAGTGCAGGAGGCAATGATATTGGCCGGTGTAGGAGCGAGGAGCTTCTTGATAAGTTCAAGGCAGCTATAGATCGTATTAGGACTAAGGGAGGGATCCCTATCATATGCGGTGTCCTGCCTAGAAGGAGAGTTGGCAGTGAATGGTTGTCAAGGGCAGTTGGTGTCAACGACCGTCTTGGCAGATATTGCAAGTCAATATCAGTCCCATTCATTGACAACTGGGACAACTTCTATGGCAGAAGGGACCTTTATGCTAGGGATGGGGTGCACCTGTCTAGGGATGGAGTAGCAACCCTGGCTGGAGCTCTAGAGGGGGCAGTTCAAAAGATATCGAAGTCTTTAAACTGCTAGGGGAACATATGAGCACGGGGTGGAGGAGACTGCAGTGGGAGCGGGTAAACAAAGTGAAAGATTACAGGGAAATAGTGTTAGGAATGATGACAAAACTAAATTAGACAGGGAGTTTAAAACTAAACGTGGTAAAGGGAGGACTCAGAACACGACTAACTTAAATGTATACTACGCGAACAGTAGAAGTATGAGAAACAAAATGGATGATATTAGGGCCTTGGTATGAACCGAAAAAATCGATATAATAGCATTCACTGAAACATGGATCAACCTAGACACACGTGAGTTACCAGTCGAATACCAAATTGCGGGTTACAAACTGTTCCATACCGATAGGCAGACCAGAAAAGGAGGCGGAGTAGCAATCTATGTTAGGGATAATCTGAAGTGTGAAATAAATAAGGAAATAAAAACTGAGCGGAATACAGAAACAATTTGGATAGAATTAATCGACGGTAGGGAAAAATTAATCACAGGAGTAATATATAGACCTCCCAATCTTGATAGAGTCAATGAGCGACTTATCTGGGATGAAATGCGCAGGGCTTCAATACACAACAAAGTCTGTATAGTAGGCGACTTTAACCTTGGCCAAATAGATTGGACTGACCTTACAGGTAACTCAGAATCAGAGAATTTTCTCGAGACGATCCAGGACTGTTTTCTAAGTCAACATATAACCGAACCCACACGGGGTAATAATATACTAGATTTAGTTCTGTCAAACAGAGAGAACCTCATTAGCAGTGTCGAGGTAGGGAACGAACTTGCAAACAGCGACCACAAAGAAATTAGATTCCAGTTAGATTTTCAGGGCAGACGTAAGGAAAATTCCACTGAAGTACCAGATTTCAGTAGGGCGAACTTTGACAGTTTAAAGAGGCAGCTGAGAGAGGGGGTGTCGCGCTTGGCCGTGAACCTGACAGATGACACCGACCTGCTAACGAGATCTGAGATTGCCGAGTTCCACATCAATTTAAATAGTGAGTTACTTAATGCATAAAGGCAGAACATACCATACAAAAAACTCAGATCAGACAACAGTGACCCTAAATGGATAAATAATTATTTAAAGAACATCATCAGCCAAAGGAAGGCTATAGGTAGAAGGATAAATCGTGGCGAAATTCACCTCCGGGACTATTATAGGGTATTGGCGAGTAGGGTTAAAACCGAGATAAGGAAAGCAAAGAGGAATAATGAGGTAAGGATAGCAAGGGAGGCGAAGACAAACCCAAAGGATTCTACCAAATGTATCAAACTAAAACACGAGAAAAGATTGGACCAATATGGTCAGACGCCGGCGAGCTCACTGATAACGACAGAGAAATGAGCAATAATTTGAATAAATATTTTTCAACAGTTTTCACCACCGAAAATTTAAACATGATACCCGAGGCACCGACTCTATTCAGAGATAGTGAAGAAAACAAATTAAGCGAGATAGTAGTGACTAGTAACGATGTTAGTAAGCAAATAGACAAACTAAAGCCTAATAAGTCACCTGGTCCCGATGAGATATTTGCCAGAGTATTAAAGGAATGTAAGGAAGAGCTTAGTATTCCCTTAGCAAAGTTGTTTAACATGTCCTTAAAAACAGGTGTAGTACCAGAATCCTGGAGGATAGCGAATGTAATACCGATTTTCAAGAAGGGGGATAGATCACTATCCTCTAACTACCGCCCAATCAGTCTAACATCAATAGTAGGCAAATTACTGGAAGCAATCATTTCAAACTCTATTTGAAATCACCTGGAGAAGCACCGATTGATCAATGATTCCCAGCATGGCTTCACAAGCGGACGTTCTTGTCTAACTAATCTATTAACATTCTTTTCATCAGTTTTCGAATCGGTGGACGAGGGGCACAATTATGATGTGGTATATCTCGACTTTAGCAAAGCCTTCGACAGAGTCCCCCACGAAAGACTAATTAGAAAGGTAGAAGCTCATGGCATCAAAGGTAACATCCTTAAATGGATTAGGGCGTGGTTACAGGACAGGAAACAGCGAGTGAGCATTAACGGCACTAAGTCCCATTGGAGCAACGTCACAAGTGGAGTTCCCCAAGGCTCAGTACTTGGACCATTATTATTTATTATATACATAAACGACATAGATATCGGCATAGACAGCAACATAAGTAAATTTGCTGATGACACTAAAATAGGACGTGTTATTAAATCTGACGAGGACTCAGCAAAACTACAGGAAGATCTAAACAAATTTTTCGAATGGTCTGAAAAATGGCAGATGAAATTCAACGTGGACAAATGTAAAGAACTCAGTATAGGAGATGGAAACAGGGAAACCAGATACCAGATGAACAATGATGCCATAGAGAAATCCGACTGCGAGAGAGATTTAGGAGTAATGATAAGTAGGAACCTTAAGCCAAGTAAACAATGTGTTTTTGCTCGTAACAAGGCTAATAAAGTACTTGGGTTCATACAAAGGAGTGTTAGTTACAAGACTAGCGAGGTCATCCTAAAACTGTATCTTGCTCTTGTGAGACCACACCTGGATTACGCAGTTCAGTTCTGGTCACCGTATTACAGAATGGATATAGAATCCTTGGAAAGAATTCAGAGGAGAATGACAAGACTAATCCCGGGCATTAGGAACCTTGAGTATAGAGACAGGTTAAAGCATCTTAATTTGCACTCCCTCGAGAGACGTAGAGCGAGGGGCGACCTGATAGAGGTGTACAAGTGGAAGGCAGGGCTAAACAAAGGGGACATTACAAAGGTACTCAAACTATCCAACCAGGAGCGAACTCGTAACAATGGTTTTAAATTAGACAAATTTAGATTTAGGCGGGAAATAGGTAAACACTGGTTTGGAAACAGAGTGGTGGATGAATGGAACAAGTTACCAAATATCATCATTAACTCGAATACGCTGAATGGCTTCAAACATAGGTTGGATGCTTATATGAGCAATAGGAGTTGGGTGTAAACGGGACTGCCCAGTATGGGCCAATAGGCCCGCTGCAGTTTCCTCCATTCTTATGTTCTTATGTTATGTTCTTATTGTAGTAGAAGTTGGCCACCGAGACCAATTTGGTGTCAAATCCATGAAAATAATTGTGTATATGAAGTTATCACTATCAAAATTTTAGGTGAGGCTACATAGGGATCCAAACTATCCTAACTTAACATTTTATCGCCCCATCATATTGGTGGTAAATTTTTGACAAATGAAGAGAAATGTGGTGTTATGTATGTATATCGCTTTAGTAAAATAATATAAATAAAAGCTGTTAAGTCGTCCTCAAACATTTCCATGATAATGTCATACTCGGACACTTACAAGAAGAAATACTGTATCAATACCTCGTGCTTTTCCTCGTGTACAGAGATAAACTTGAACGGTTTGATGAGAAAGCCAATGCCAAAACACATAAGATGTTTTTTACCATAATAAATGATGGTAACGAATGTATGGTGCACGGTGAATGACAGACTGATGTAGAACATGTAGAGGTGTGAACAATGACATATAAAACTTGACTTGTTTCTGCAATAAGAATCACTTTTGATGTAGATCAACACAACTCCAGCCTTGTTCAGACGTTCAGCCTTCTTTAGGGAGTTTTAATGACAAAATCATAAAGTTCTGAAGGTAAGCTGTAAACTGTATGTATATCACATTCCTACATTTTTTCTTTGTTTCCTATTAGATAAGTATTCATGCATCAAAAATATGTCCAAAAATATTCTGCCTCCTCCCTGTAATAATTGTTTATCAGACCACAGATTACTGCCCAGAGAAGTACAACACATATAACAGTAAGTAGATGCCTACGGGGTAACCCACATAAGTTGACATACCCTACAGTAACAGTAAGATCTGACCCAGGAGAGCTGACAGCCACACAGTACTGGAGTTAACCCTGCGATATGACCGTGTTACTCAAGAAACCACACCTGGGCAAACACAGCTGTCCAGACCTGACCTAAGAGAGGTCAGTTACATTGACCCAGAGTCTTCACCGCCACGCGATTAGCTTAACCCGACGACATGACCGTGTTAAAGAAACCACACCTAGCCGGCGACATGACCACAAACTCACGAGGATTACTTTCACATCACTGAATGCAGAAGACGGAGTCAAGCTCGTCTCTAGTCGAGGTCGGGAGGGAGACTTCCCTCCCCAGCACCGCATCTCTAGCTAGCATAGTCTCCCATAGGAGACATAAGTCCAGCAGCACCCGCTGGGCCTCCCTCAGGTCACACGTGAGTCATTGTCAGAGCTATCCATAGGGTGAGCTACTTACGGTGGGAAGTGTATCCATTTTATGTTTGTGTCCGAGAGTCAGTGTCTAGTAACGTAAATATAATGTTCTAGTAACTTCGATATCATGTTCTATCAATGTGTCTGTGTCATCGAGTGAATAATAAATAGTTGTATTAAAAGCGGTGTTTAGAGAAAGATTTCCCCTAAGAAAGTATTTGCAGCAAAAAACTAACCAGCCACGGTACCAAACTTCCTCACTTTCCAATCCTACAACTGAATATTATATCTTACACTCAAATCCCCCATTACCCCCCCATTACACCCCCCAAAAAAAAAGAAAATACAGTAATGACCCTCTCCTTAAACTTTGCCAGCGATTGAACTCTTCAACTAACAGGAACAACCATGACAATAACAATGTATTTAGATATCACCCAAAAAAAATATTATAGATACTTGTTCATCGTGTCATAATAAGAGCAGTAAAAGTAGTACTCGCCTTGCCCTGGTGGTAGAGGAAGCCTTGGCATCACCCGTCACGTCTTGGGCCAGGGACCAAGGGACCATCCTGCCTGAAACAATATTCATGAGTGAGTCCACAGTTCTGTTCTCATTACTCTTATTGTATACAGCATTATTGATACTTAAACCAAAATGATTTAAACCGCAACACAAGCGATGGTGGATTCTTCCATCCCTCAATAAGGATCAGTACATCTGGTCGATTTAATTTGTCACAGAGAAGTACAAGTCAAAATGCGTTACCCAAAAAGAGTAACTCACTGACAAACCTTCACTGACAATTCTCCGGTGCTGTGATGCTTACGTGTTGAATTAGGAATATTTATCTATGGCACTTTCTCTAAAACAAGTGATGCAAAATATTTAAATCCTCTTACCCCTCATAGTCTTGCCTACTGTCTGGTTTCAGTTAACATTCTCGGCTCTAAGGCTTTAATATATTCTACTTGAGCCTATTTTTGTTACGTAATATTAACCACAAGTGAAAAAAAAACAAGGAAAATCAAAATAAGAACATTGCCATTACTACAACTAATTTGCATGTTCTTGATGTTAGGGAGTTGTCTTCATTATATAATTAGACCAGAAATAGTTGGTTAACGTGTGAAGTTCATAAGAAATACAACTAAATTTTCCTGTAAAGTTTCACATATAAAAACTCTTAGTACCATGTCGTTATAATGTTATTACTGCGCTACGACAACGATTGTCCTTAAGCGTCACTGCAGTGAATATCAGTGACGAGACAAACTTACCAATATACTGTATATATTCATTTACTTACAAACTTTTATGATTGTGTTGCCAATATGTAGAAATCTTGCTATAACTCTGAAGTGAATCATTCATTATATTTACCGGTGTGGTTTTGGTGCTAATATACAATGGCCTCCTCAATGGCCTCTTAAAAGGAATAAATTAAAGTCAATCTTTCTTGTACTTATGATTTAGTTAAGACCCATGTGTTAATTTGAGACATGTGTCCAAGTCATTTGAATATTTTTTTGTACAGAAGTTGTTAAGAATAAGAAAATTGTCACTGTTCGTTTTAACTATCCTCAACCATACTTAATTGATAACTACTGTATTAACTATTATTAACTTGAATACCATGCCTACGATTCTGAAACTTCTGGTTAACATTTTACCTAATTTATCAAGTAATCATTGGAAGTGTTAAGGAAAGTCACCATATTGTTAACTAGAGGTTTTAATATTCGTAACATGGGTTTCTTAGGTTAGGTTAGGTTCTGTACCAGATTCCATTGTAAATATTAATGATGAATACAGAAAGTCGGCCCAAATAACTTCATTGGTCTTGTTTACTCTAATTTGAATAGTTACTCACTTCTTTTCCACCTTTCTTTCATTGGACATTATTTGGTATAAACTGAACAAATTCGAACACCGACTTGTGGTGTTAGCCGTCTGCTTCAGTATTACCTAACCCTTCTCTCACTCTGCCAGCTGACAGTGTAAACATGAGATGGTAATGAGTACATTACAGTTTCACAAAAGTTGAAATGAATCAGATTCTCGTTTGATACATAATTCCTAAATAAGATAATGCTTGAATCGTATTTAGAATAATTGTTTCGATGTAAAGAAACAGCTACTATCATTTGTTATGCTTTCATTGCCAGCTGGTGGACCGAGACGCCATTTTATAAACAATTTGGTAGCAAATGTTTATTTCCCATTTAACTATAACAATATGTCTATGTATTCCGACATAAAGGTTCTTGCGAAATGTTATTTGTGTTTTATCGTGGACAGATTGGTAAGAGTTGTTAGTGAAGGGTAATGTTATATGGTGTTAGCAGTTGGTTGTGGTATGTGTTGACTCGGCTCCTGCCCACAACCCCTACATCCTCATATTTAACACATTAACTTTAACAGATACAACCCGTGTTGACAACTTACCTCTTGATGTTATATTGTTCCTTCACCAATTATGGCACAATAACACAATAGCACTTCACTTATACACTTCTACACACGGCAGCAGCGGCAACGAAATTAATCGTCGCGGTTCATAACATTGATTCCTACTCAAAGCAAGTGTCGGAAATTCAAGAGACTGAATGAACCTGTCTCATTATACTGTGGGAAGACTTTGACTGAATCTCTCTTTGAATTTACGAAATACCTGATTCGCTGATGTAGAACCCATGTAATTACTTTTTATTTTTCCACATAAATTAATCTATACACATGAGAAACTGTTAATCTCTTAATTATAAAGACTATTATCCCATATGAATGAGTTAATTGTAAGGAACACACATCACTGCTGGTCATGAACATCTGAAACAACTCTTCCAAACTCTGTCCTCATCAGTGTCTCAAACTGTTCGTCAACTTGTAAGAAACTGATAATTTTGTTCTTTTGTTTATCTTAGTTTATTAACGGTATAAAACAAAAATAAAACACACAATGAGATAAAACACAACCAAATATCGTCCTATATCGTTAACAAATGACAAAAGAAACTTTTTTTTTTCAATCAATGCTTTCGAAGATGACCACCAGGCAGCACTACCATCTCAGATCACAACCAAAACAACGTAATAAATAAACTATATTAGACTATGTAAAACAAAGGCAGCGTTTAATAATCTTAGACTGTTTAAAAGAGACAATACTGAAATTCTTGTACCAGAAAAAGTTTAAAAAATAGTATGTCAGGAGCGTGACTACCTTCAGCAGACTCCTGAAGCAGGCAAGAGGTCGTCGAAGATGTTAAAGATAAGTTATATTGATCATAAAACAAGTGAAGCCATACTAAAACTGGATAGGAAAATAAAGATAAATTTTGGAATTTTTTAGATAGTTATTAGAGGAGCCATTAGCCATTATATTTGTGATAATGGAGGGTACGAGAGTCAGAGAGAGACAGAATCTGGGTGTCTGGGGAGATACAAAACCTGGGCGGATTGGTAAAGCGGCCCAGAAACGTTTGGGGTGGTGGGCTATGGTCGCCAACCCTCAGGCATGAAAGTGCCTCCTTGATTGAGTGAAGTACCACACCTCAGAGACAGAAGACCAGGCAGAGTGCTGCTGTGGGTTTGAGCTGAGAATGTAGCTCCAGGTTCAAGGTCTATGAAACATTCCCGTCCTTTTCCAAACTACTTTCACTAAGATAAACTTAAAACTAAGAATTCCTTCCACTTCTATTGTCATTTGTGTTAAGTATTTCTCTTTAACTGTTGAAAGCTTTCTCGACTTAATAACTGTACTTCTATAGTGTACTGTACTGTAGTGAATTCATACATCAGCTACAGTATTTGTGGAATTAACAGTTTGTCCATTTCACACTCAGGACACACTAAAACAATACAACAAAAATTAAAATGAAGCTCGTCTCTTCTGATTGTTCTGTTTGGTGGTCAGTCGTCGGGTGCCTTGCTCATGAACGATAATTTCTGGTACATCTCCTTGCTGTTCTATGACCGGGTGGTGAATGATTAAACAAGTACTTGGCACATTGTCCTGGATCATTGAGTCTTTGAAGTGCTGTAAGTTATGGTGACCATCTCCTTGAACCTCCAACTCTCTCGCCTCTTCAGTGGACAGCTGGCGGACAACTTGAACTTTAACTAACCTTACATCTTGACGACTCTGGTGATATTTGTTCTTGTGTGACACATCTCCCTGGGCCGTAGATGTCTCCTGTTTTCCATGTCGACTGTTATTTTGGACATTCGAATTGATATTACCACTACTGCTGTTTTTGCTGACCCTCTTGCCATTATCGACGCTGTTGGTTTGCCCTTTTATATCACCAACGTCGCTACTATTACTATTATTACTATGGAGAACCCCGAAGCTGTTGTTTTTATCATAGAGGATGCTATTACTGGATTCACAGCTCACGATGGTGCTTGTCGTACTCGTGCTGGCGTTGTCATCTCGTTTCTGGCTGTTCGTGCTGTCGCCTGAGCCGTCGGTGATACTTAGATGATCTCCGTGGTGGGGGACCTCGACGGGATTAGCGTTAAGGAACATGAAGTTATGGTAGTGCCAGAAGGTGAAGCTTCCCAGTAACATCATCTCCACCAGGTAGATCGAGTTCTCCACAGCTGCCGAAGTCAAGAACGATGTATGTAGTGGTTTATATTTCCCAAATCACAACTTATGATATCATAGCATAACATTACTTTATAGACGTTTAGACTACTTCCTCTACTTATAAGCATATATAAATTTCCTTGTAAATACTTGTATATAAAATTACTCTGCTTGTATACATGTAAACCTACTCTGCTTATATACATGTAAACTTACTTTGCTGATATACATGTAAACTTTCTCTGCTTATATACATGTAAACTTACTCTGCCTGTAGACTTGTGGGGAGAGGTATGGAGGGATACAAGGGAAGACGTCATAGTAACCCAGAATTTCGAGGATGAGGGTCTGAGCGTTTGTCACTAGTACCAGAGTCTTCATGGCGAAGCACTTTTTCTACGGAAGGGTAAATGTGCTTAAGTTTCCCCTACTAAAAGAAAATGGGATCCAAAATACACAGAATGACTCACTTAAGGAATATAAAATCCAGTTTTTAGTAAGTTTTATGCCAAAATGGTTAGGTTAGGTTTCAATGGGGAGTTGATGAAAATTAAACACAGTACTTAAATAAATATGTTTGATGTAAGTATTGGTTGGATAGGAGATGACAAACACACACACACACACACATACACACACACACACACACACACACATCATCATGACCACCGAAGGTCAAAATGCCTGGCGCTCCACTCCCAGAGCAGCCAGGTCAACTATTAAGATGGCCCATACCAACTCCTCTGAACCCCTCCTGCCACGGAATATCAACAAGTTCACAAAAGTTACTATTTCATTTAGGAAAGGAATGGAACCAGTGTTAAACAGGGTGAACAGTGGTGAACAGTGCTTAAGTCAGTGAGAACAACTCAACAGTAACAGTGGTACCCAAGTTGACCTTACACAGGAAGTCCCAGGTACCAGTGATAACAGCCCTACCCAACAACCAGCGATGTGTTAATCCGTCTACGATAGGAAGGCCTGGGACCACACCTCACTCATAGAACACCGTCTGTGAGGAACTACTACACCACGTGAGGCCCTCATAACACCATCTGTGAAGGAATTACTACACCACGTGAGGCCCTCCCATAACACCATCTGTGAGGAATTATTACACCGTGGAGCCCCTCATAACACCATCTGTGAGGAATTACTACACCACGTGAGGCCCCTCTTAACACCATATGTGAGGAATTCCTACACCGTGAGGCCCTCATAACACCATCTGTGAGAATTACTACACCACGTGAGGCCCCTCATAACACCATCTGTGGGAATTACTACACCACGTGAGGCCGCTACCATCTGTGAGGAATTACTACACCACGTGAGGCCTCATAACACCATCTGTGAGAATTACTACACCACGCGAGGCCCCTCATAACACCATCTGTGGGAACTACTACCACGTGAGGTCCCTCTAACACCATCTGGGAGGAGTTACTACACTACGTGTTGCTGTTCAACACCTACATTAATCTGTATGTTCACTGTATGTTCATTCACCTTTCTCTAATGAAGGCTTTGTTAAACCACCAATGTATGTAATAAGTCATTTATGCCCAATGTATATTTTCAGCCTTCGGCTGCAGAACTTTCAATAAACTTTATTATTATTATTATTATTATTATTATTACACCTTGTAGTTGTAGTGTTCTAGGTGACCTTTGGAGAAAGCAGTGAGGATCTGGAGGGAGTAGAGGCCAAATGAAAAGGATGCCACGTTGAACAGGTAAAGCCACAAGACGACTCCTGCCGGGTTCATCTGAAAGTGAAAGAGACGGCAAGTGAGGGAGATCAGGAGAGTCAAGATACTAAGTGAGGGAGATCAGGTGAGTCAAGATACTAAGTGAGGGAGATCAGGTGAGTCAAGATACTAAGTGAGGGAGATCAGGTGAGTCAAGATACTAAGTGAGGGAGATCAGGTGAGTCAAGATACTAAGTGAGGGAGATCAGGTGAGCCAAGATACTGAGGAAGATCAGATAAGTCAATATACTAGGTGAGGATGATCAGGTGAGTCAAGATACTGTAAGTGAGGGAGATCAGGTGAGTCAAAATTCTAAAGATTTACATGCAGATATTAATTAACCTTTCTTGAGGCTAACAATTAACAAACCTAGTGGTATAAACTCATTTTATTGGCTCTAGCGATTATGAATACACACACACACACACACACACACACTCTCTCTCTCTCTTTCTCAATCTGTTTCACTCTACCAATATATCTATCTGTTAATCAGTCTATCCCAACATACTGTCCATCTTACGTTTCCGAGTGAGATGTTGTTAGCTGAGAGAAGAATGACGAGGATGAGGTAATAGGCAGCCTGGGTGAAGGGCATTTGGTCAGATAACAGCATCACCAACCTCAAGGACGACCTGACATACACACAGACACACACAATAACGTACATTAGTGAATCACATTTTCTTCTTAAATAACTAAAAAACATAATATTTTTTCATGGATAAATTATAATCTGAGATAAAGACTACAGTATTTGATTCATTTTTATGTTATTTTTATTACTTATCAACTTATTATTACTGAGGTGTATACGACCAGACTCCATAAATACTAAGTATACATTAATATACACCTGATTATACGGTGGATTGCTTACTACATATTAACAGGTGTGTATTGATGTATTGGAAGCATAAGGTGTTGTCTAATGGTAAACCCTGCTGCCATATGGCATCTCAATAATTGTGACCAAGTCCCAGGTTGCTGATCTGTCTTTCTGCCTCATTTACGAACAATTGCAGGGTCTCAATTGTTTCTCTTACTATTGACAACACAACATGCTGTACAGGTATATTGTTTCTCACTCTTGATTAATTTTTTCGTTTGTGCATTTAGTTATGGTTATTATTATTATTATTTTTATTTTTTGTTATAATTTTATCTATTATTATTATTATTATTATTATTATTATTATTAGTAGTAGTAGTAGTAGTAGTAGTATAATTATTATTATTATTATTATTATTATTATTATTATTATTATATTTTCGCCACCCCCCAGGCCCCGGGTGGGCTAATCCCCATAGTTAAACCGTTTAAATTACAATTACGAGAATGGTATAGGCACACCTGATCATGCTGAATACAGAAACAATTTGGATAGAATTAATCGATGGTTGAGAAAAAATAATAACAGGAGTAATATATAGACCTCCTAATCTTGATAGAGTTAATAATGAACGACGTATTTGGGATGAAATGCGCAGGGCTTCCAGACATAGCAAAGTCTGTATAGTAGGCGACTTAAACTTAAGCCAAATAGATTGGATTCACCTTATGGGTAACTCAGAATCAGAGAATTTTCTTGAAATAATCCAGGACCGTTTCCTAAACCGACATATAACCGAGCTCACCCGGGGTAATAATATACTTGATTTAGTTCTGTCAAACAGAGAAAATCTCATTAGTAATATCAAGGTACGGAACGAACTTGCTAACAGTGATCACAAAGAAATAAGATTCCAATTAGAATTTCAGGACAGCAGCAAGGAAAATTCCACTAAAGTCCCAGATTTCAGAAGGGCAAACTTTGATAGTTTGAAGAGGCAGCTGAGAGAAGGGGTATCACGCTTGGGAGTGAATTACATGACCTCACATGAGGTGACCTCACACAATGTACCCACAGAGGGTGACCTCACCTTACCTGGAGACCTGGCGGTTGAGGATGACCTGATCACGAGATCTGAGATTGACGAGTTCCACAACAATTTAAATAATGAGTTACTTAATGCACAAAGGCAGAACATACCGTACAGAAAACTCAGATCAAACAACAATGACCCTAAATGGATAAATAATTATTTAAAGAATATTATTGGAAAAAGGAAGGCTATAGGTAGGAGAATAAATCGTGGTGAAGTTTACCTCCGAGATTCTTATAAGGTATTGACCGGTAGGGTTAAGACCAAGATAAGAAAAGCAAAGAGGAATAATGAACTGAAGGTAGTAAGGGAGGCGAAGTCAAACCCCAAGGGATTCTATCAAATGTATCAAACTAAAACACGCGAAAAGATTGGACCAATACAGTCAGATACCGGCGAGCTAACTGATAACGACAGAGAAATGAGCAATAATCTGAATAAATATTTTTCAACAGTTTTTACCACCGAAAATTTGAACATGATACCCGAGGCACCGACTCTATTCAGAGATAGTGAAGAAAACAAATTAAGCGAGATAGTAGTGACTAGTAACGATGTTAGTAAGCAAATAGACAAACTAAAGCCAAATAAGCCTCCAGGTGCCGATGAGATATTTGCCAGAGTATTAAAGAAATGTAAGGAAGAGCTAAGTATGCCCTTAGCAAAGTTGTTTAACATGTCCTTAAAAACGGGTGTAGTACCAGAATCCTGGAGGATAGCGAATGTAACACGATTTTCAAGAGGGGAGATAGATCATTATCCTCTAACTACCGTCCAATCAGTCTAACATCAATTGTAGGCAAGTTACTGGAAGCAATCATTTCAAACTCTATTCGAAATCCCCTGGAGAAGCACAAGTTGATCAATGATTCCCAACATGGCTTCACAAGCAGGCGTTCATGTCTAACTAATCTATTAACATTCGTTTCAGCTGTTTTCGAATCAGTGGACAAGAGGCACACTTATGATGTGGTATATTTCGACTTTAGCAAAGCCTTCGAACAGAGTCCCCCACGAAAGACTAATAAGAAAAGTGGAGGCACATGGCATTAACGGAGATATTCTAAAATGGATTAGAGCGTGGTTACAGAACAGGAAACAGAAAGTGAGCATTAACGGCACTAAATCCGATTGGAGCAACGTCACTTGTGGAGTTCCCCAAGGCTCAGTACTTGGACCATTATTATTTATTATATACATAAACGACATAGATATCGGCATAGACAGCAACATAAGTAAATTTGCTGATGACACTAAAATAGGGTGTGTAATTAAATCTGACGAGGACTCAGCAAAACTACAGGAAGACCTAAACAAATTTTTCGAATGGTCTGAAAAATGGCAGATGAAATTCAATGTCGCCAAATGTAAAGTACTCAGTATAGGAGATGTAAACAGGGAAACCAGATGCCAGATGAACAACGATGTTATTGAGAAATCCGACTGCGAGAGGGATTTAGGAGTAATGATAAGTAGGAATCTTAAGTCAAGTAAACAATGTGTATTTGGTCGAAACAAGGCTAATAAAGTATTTGGGTTCATACAAAGGAGTGTTAGTTACAACACAAGCGAGGTCATCCTAAAACTATATCTTGCACTTATGAGACCTTACTTGGATTACGCAGTTCACTTCTGGTCACTGTATTACAGAATGGATATATAATCCTTGGAAAGAATTCAGAGGAGAATGACAAGACTAATCCCGGGCATTAGGAACATTGAGTACAGAAACAGGTTAAGGCATCTTAATTTGCACTCCCTCGAGAGACGTAGAGTGAGGAACGACATGATAGAAGTGTATAAATGGAAGTCAGGGCTGAACAAAGGGGACATAACAAAGGTAGTCAAACTATCCAACCAGGAGCGAACTGGTAACAATTGTTTTAAATTAGACAAATTAGATTTATGAGCGAAATAGGTAAACATTGGTTTGGAAATAGAGTAGTGGATGAATGGAATAAGTTATCAAACATCATTATTGACTCAAATATGCTGGATAGCTTCAAACATAGGTTGGACGGATATATGAGCAATAGGGGTTCGGTGTAAAAGGGACTGCCCAGTATGGGCCAATAGGCTCGCTGCAGTTTCCTCCATTCTTATGTTCTTATGTTCTTATGTCCACGAATCGATTGCGGTGCAATTAGTGGTCGTAATGACGCTTGCAAGATTTCAATGACTTTTTCAATGCTAATTACTCGATAGCTATGGGTTTCCTGGGTGTGATTTCGGTGTTTTTGTGTTATTCTGGAAGTATTTAATAATGAGACTAATTGAACTACCGCAAGGAGGGGGAGGGGGATGTCTTTTGTACTGTTAAGCATTTGTTGTTGTTTTTGACTTAAGGATTCAACTGTTAAGGTTATTAGGTACTATTCGTCAATCTTCTATTAATACCTAACCTAACCTAACCTAACCTAACCTAATCTAACCTAACCTAACGAAACCTAACCTCACCAAATGTTGTTGGTGAACCTCTCACTTGGTGACTGGTGGGCGGGGGAGACAGGCGCAGCAGCAGCAGGAGGGAGGGACCTGAAGATTAAGTCTGTTGCCCATAGTCTTGGCCAACATCACCTCTTCACTACCGAACATTAACACCGTCAAGTCCGTGAAGTGACTGATACCTATGGACATGTACCTATAGGAGTGAGAGAGAATTAAGATATGGTTAAAACAAAAACAAACAAAAACTATCAACATGTACATTAGAGGTCCGATCATTTTGGTAATTTTACAAGCTATCAACCTGAACCCATTTCCTGGTATGCGAGAGTAATGCTAACTCACCTCGATTCATTAATACCTTAGGAAATTTATATTATCCCAAATACAAGTCTAGTTTAGTACATGAAAATTACAGCTTAAAGTTTACAGAAATTATCCTCATGCAGGAAATACAAACTAAATACAGATGCTTGTTAATGTATAGACTCTGAGCATATTTCTCTCACAGGGCTTGTTCCTAGGGAGCCTCCAGCCCTTCTCAGGACCATTCCAGGAATCCATATCAACCATAGGCATTGTCTATAGGGAATAAGGATACCCTACACTCCACGTTTATGAATACGACCCATTATTTCATACAAAATCGTAAAGATACATTATTGAGCGAGTGTACCTATAGAGCGAGTGTACCTATAGAACGAGTGTACCTATAGAACGAGTGTACCTATAGAGCGAGTGTACCTATAGAGCGAGTGTACCTATAGAACGAGTGTACCTATAGAGCGAGTGTACCTATAGAGCGAGTGTACCTATAGAGCGAGTGTACCTATAGAACGAGTGTACCTATAGAGCGAGTGTACCTATAGAGCGAGTGTACCTATAGAGCGAGTGTACCCATAGAACGAGTGTACCTATAGAGCGAGTGTACCTATAGAGTGAGTGTACCTTTAGGGATGACAAATTAAAGACATGACAGAGGCCCATGGACGGTGTTTTAGGTGTTAGTGACGTCAAAAAGAACGCAGGTAAATGCTTAATGAAGATAACTTACGTGACCTTAATGGCAGTACAGATGGCGTGGGATCTGGGCGCGAGTACGGCAATCAGACTCATCACTGTCATCAACTGTGGAAGTGGAGAGAATTTAGGAGGGTGTTTTACCTTATGTGTATTCTCCCTTAATTAATTTCTTCCTTTTATGCGTGTTCTCCCTGAGTGTTCTCCCTGCCTGTTCTCCCTTAATAAATTTCTTCCTTTTATGCGTGTTCTTCCTGCGTGTTCTCCCTGAGTGTTCTCCCTGCCTGTTCTCCCTTAACAAATTTCTTCCTTTTGTGCGTGTTCTCCCTGCGTGTTCTCCCTTAATTAATTTCTCTCTTATGCGTGTTCTCCCTTATACGTGTTCTCCCTTATGGATATTCTCCCTTATTAAGTTACTAGCCCTGGTGGATGAAGCTACTAACCGAGTAGATGAAGTCACTAACCGGGTAGACGAAGCCACTAACCGGGTAGACGGAAGATATCCAGTAGATGTGGCGGCGGAAGACGTTGTGGGCGTTCTGGTGCGTGAAGAAGACCTGCTCAAAGAAGAGGATGAAGAGCCCAGTAGTGATGAGTCCCCCGACGATGAGGAGCGTCGACCCATACGACCCCAGGGCTGCCGGGGAGAGGGTGAGAGACGGGGGAAAGATGGGGAAGAAGTTGGGGAGATGAGGGGAGAGGGTGAGAGACGGAGAGAGATGGGGAAGAAGTTGGGGAGATGAGGGGAGAGGGTGAGAGACGGAGAGAGATGGGGAAGAAGTTGGGGAGATGAGGGGAGAGTGAGAGACGGGGGAGATGGGGAAGAAGTTGGGGAGATGAGGGAGTGTGGGGAGAAGACGGGGAGAGATGGGGGAAGAAGTTGGGGAGATGAGGGGAGAGTGTGAGAGACGGGGGAGAGATGGGGAAGAAGTTGGGGAGATGAGGGGAGAGTGTGAGAGACGGGAGAGAGATGGGGAAGAAGTTGGGGAGATGAGGCGAGAGGGTGAGAGACGGGGGAGAGATGGGGAAGAAGTTGGGGAGATGATGGGAGAGGGTGAGAGACGGGGAGAGAATGTGGGAGAAGGGAAGAGATTGCTAGAGATGAGGAGAGAGTGTGAGAGATGGACTGAGAGTGTGATTGATGGGGAGGGAGGATGAGAGAGAGAGAGACAGTGTGATAGTGTAAGAGACAAAATGAGAAACGGAGAGAGTATGAGAGATAGTGTGAGAATGTAAGAGAATGGTAACCTAACCCATCAAAACACAAAACTTTAACCTAAACCTAACCTAAACTAAACTAAACCTAACCTAACCTAACCTAACCTAACCTAAACCTAACCTAACCTAAACTAAACCTAACCTAACCTAAACCTAATTAATAGAATAAATGAATATCGGAATGAAAAACAAATTCATTTCAAGTCTTTCCAAGATTTTTGTCCATTAATAACTGATAAGAAAACACATGTTATCAGATACACTTCATTCCTGTCATTTTTTCTTCTTTGTTAGGTGATAAAATTGATAACGTCGTTCACTAATTTTTAAAAAGTGGCTCATCCACCTCCCTGTTGTCAAATGAGATAAACATACAGTCATCAATGCTAAAATAGACAGGTATTTTTTAATTCCCTTTTTAATCTGTCTAGTTTGATGTTTTTGTTTAAGTAAGTAAGTAAAGTAAGCATATAAGTAAGTACGTCCTAACATCATTCACTATTGCCCAATCATGTAATATTTTCTTCTGTCGTATAATATCAGGTCATTGAATACACCTCATGGATAATAATTTATATACTGTGACTCTTATACCTGTATCTCACCTGACTCACCTATCTGATACTCATCCCAAGTGGGTATATAGCTGTTGTTGCATCTCAGAACAGATGACATCCCTCGGTTGTGGTCCATTGGTGAGTTACGAGTTCTTCTACGATGATAAAACGAGACGGACTGTAATATTAGAGATAGGCATAAAGATCACAAAATAATACAATGATATGACTTGATTAACATACCTGTTCCTTGTTCAATGACCGTAATTAAGTTCATTAGAGGAGAGGGTGGGGGGGGGGAGGAGAGGTAATTAGAGGTAAATGTTCTATGCTGGGATAATATTCAAGAGTAAATCATATTCCTAATTTCATTTACTGTCACAGGTTACTTATGTGAAAAGAAATTGTATACTGTTAAGTCCTAGATTCATGAATACGGTCAAGAGTTTGTATTACCTGTTTTTACCTAAATATTCTGTCCTTACTCTCACTTACATTTCCTCACTTATATAAACTAACCACCTCACTGTTCCATCAGGTTAACTATACTACACTCCTATTGTTGTGTGAGGGATATGATAACACAGAGGATAATATGAAACTTACATAACACAGGGACAGATAATATGCCACTGTAAACTCACACTTGTCTTTTACCCGTTGACAATTGTTATCGAGTCATAATATAACTTTTCCTTTTTTACCTTTTTTTTCGATTTTCAAAATATAAATTCAAATATACTTCTATAACAGGGTAGAATCTATATCAACTCGGATGATAAAATTGAAGAAAAAATGGGTAGGCCTATTGACAGTGAACTAAATATCGCACAAAATACCTCTGCCGTGTGTGTAATCACTGAGAAGAGCTCAATGTTGCTCCTGTAGGTGACGTGTATCGTCTGCCCAACACTCTCAGCTGCTGAACTCCATCACGTGTTATCTTCTGCAACAATGAATTAATGGGACGCAGTACACCAGGAGTCAGAAACAGAAAACAAGGCCGCCAAGACAGCCTCAGGGCCACCTCCAGCACGGTACACCATCACAGACCAACACATAAACACACGGTCACGGTTTAGATGGATTGATAAGGGTAGGTTAGGTTAGGTTAGGTTAGGTTAGGTTAGGTTAGTATGAGTGAACTTCTATATTAAAGGATAAATAACGTAAATGACTATTTGTGGTGGTTAAGTAACTCGATCTTTATGAAACTGATTTACTACAATAAGAATTTAGTATATAATTAACAAATAAAACGCTGAAAACATTAACAAAAATTGAAACAACAAAATATGGATGTGTGGCTTCATCTAACCCAATCCAAGTTAACCCTATAATGAGCATTAAACCCAGTGAGTCGTCTTATATACACATAACATAACATAACATAACATAACATAACACAACATAACATAACATAACAAAACACAGTACTATACTAAATTCTATAGAAGTGTTCAGTCTTGAGTGGTACGTCAGCAAGTGTTTATGTACATACCTGTAGTGGGAAAGGAGGGGTACCAGGCAGGGCAGGGCAGGGCAGGGGCGTGATTGACAAGTGTACAAGACTGAGAATAGCTATTACCTCCCTCAACCACGGTCGCTTAGAGTCTGGTACTGCCGACTCCACCACACTGAACTATGACTCGTTACAACTCACACTCCTTACCGAACCAGTGAACAAAATGGCTTTGTTTATATGACTACAGTACACGACTACATACCAGTAACTCCTGACACTCACATTATCCTTTGAGTGACCCGTAACTCATATAGACAAACTCCTTAACCGTAGAGTATAATAAACCGCTAAGTCTTTTACCCTTCCAGATGACACAAGTAACATCTAAGTTTCCTAAAAGCGACTAAAAAAATATATTCAATTAAATATCATAATAAAATACAAATTAACGAACCGCATCACTGGATGTTTTGATGACAGCAGCGACAGATGACGAGACAGGACAGCACACGCACACACACACACGCCTCACTGTTAGCCAAAAGTGCAGATAATATTATCAGCCGTTATCTGACAATTCTTATCACTCGGTAATCATCGGCTCACACTTTAGACGAGAATTTAACTTGGGATTTAGTCTTTTAATATATAAGTATTTGTGTTTTTCTCTACTTAAGCACAGTTTTATATTTTAGATAAAGGAAGAAGGAGTGTGTGTGTGTGTGTGTGTGTGTGTGTGTGTCCCTCGTCAGCACAACACACCTCAACACTTCACTCACCAAACTTTACTGGTAAGAAATGGAAGCTTCATAGTTCATTTATTTATTATTTATTTATTCATTGGACGATACAATTTATAAATATATGAGAATTGTAAGAGAGAGAGAGTACACAATCAACAGAGCATTAGTAAGAGGTAAGATATTAACTTGCAATTGGTCTTAAATGAAGTCTACAAAGTTTGATGTAGTTTTTAGAATTACCTTATCCAAAAAAAAATCATAATCCATAGAATAGACAACAATTTTTTTTTGAAGTTCTTAAGTCCATTTTGAGGGATAGAAGTTTAGAGGTTTTCCTTATCTCTTGTTTATAATATATTGTAGGTTTTATTTACCATTAAAATGTCGGTTTTATATGACACAAGTTATTTTATTTGGTCTCTGATGCTGGTGTTAGGTGCTTCCTGTCGTGTGTCATGATGGTTTGGTTTATTTTTAATCTTATTGATGGAACTTTCTGTAGATGAGTCCATTAGATGACACTCAGTTGCCCATGAAGAGTGTGAGTGGATCTGCCCAAGTCTAGTTTGTTGATTTCAGCCCCAAGAGTTATGGAGAACTTCAGCCCCAGGAAGATCATGCAGACCCTGACGACCTGAGGACTACTTGATGAATTGGTCTGTAAACTTGTGATAATGTAACATTGTATTTCATTATAAGTAGATGTAGTTTTCAAGTCTTTATTTACGTCTCTTACATAGGGACAACAGTCCAATATACACAGACCAACTGGTCGTCAAACTGAATTACACAGACTCTCGCCTTGTAGGGCAGCTGCACCCCAAGTTGACTGCTAGTGGGTGTAAGGAATGAGACAGTGGAACTCGCACCTCATAGCGTGCGCCAAGACAAGTGAGTCAAGCAGTAGTTTTCTAGAACAGGTATTTTATATGGTACAAAATGTTAGATATAACGGTAAAAGAGTGTCCAACACATTGGTAGTTAGGAAGAATTTACGGAGTTCGTCTAAGCCTCTAAGATTTTGTTAGGTAGGAACAAGGAGCACTCTGAGATGTAATGCTGGAGGCTGTGTTTTCTATTTTCGTCACAAATTCGACAGTGAGTAAGTGGAAGGGAAGGGTTTCTCATGAGTTCACAACATGGCCTATAGCCAAGGCTGATTCTGATGGCAACTCCATCATTGAGCCGAGTCAGACATTTATTCCGGCTGTATTAATATTTTGTGTCACAATATTTATCACAGTGGCGAACACTAACACTGGCACCTTTCTGTTCACTTCGTTCTTCGTTTATGATTTGAAAAGCGACTTTCTTGAGTTATGGTTGAAGCGTCGTTAGGGATAAGGAGTGTGCAGGCCAATTTGGGATGGGATCCATAAAAAAAGTGGATAAGGAGGGCGTCCGTCTTCGCCCTTATGAGACAATGCTGGATTTGTCTCACTAGATCCTGACAGACGGGACAGGGTGAGGTGATCGACTCTGTTCAGTACGAGAATCACTGGTCACCAGTCCACTCCGCTCCTCGTCCAGCAAGTAGTTGAGGGGTCCCAGGATGTCCCGTAGTTCACACCTTGTGCTCGCTCAATCCGGTAGACGACTCATTGCTCCGGCGACACACGTCATTACGGAACAGGCCGCATAAGCGCAGCCTGCTGCACCCGTGTCCTTCAGTGAGTCGTCGGTGTAGACGACGAATGAGTCCTCTGGGATGAGTGGTGTGACGTCACTGATCTTCTGTAGTGATGTTTGTAGTTGTACTATAGGATGGTCGTCTGTCTTAGTGTCAGTGTAGTGTAGGGACGGCGAAGTGATGGTCCATGATGCTGGCGCTCACCCGTCATCTGCCTGAGGAATGTAAGTGTTGAGATCTAGGAACACATCAGAGGTCTGGCGTAGAATTTGTATTCTTTTCTTGCCTCGTCCGGCCAATGGGGGTTTCATTGTAATCACTATTGAGTGTCAGCAATAAACAGTAAGTGTTAACACTCTTGTGCAAAAGTTTATCCTATAAGACTGGCGGCCGGTATTGAGCAGTGTGAATCCAGCTATATTCCCTCGGCCACTGCATCCCAATAGTGAGGCTGAGTTAGAAAAAAAAAATAAACAAAATTACGAGTTAAACTTATTGCCTAATGCGTGGCTTTTCAGTTGGAAAAAATATAGCCATACTGTAACTTAGATGTATGAACGGTTAGGTGAGGGAACTTGTTTTACGATGTGTGACCTTAACTTTACAGAATTTACATATATGTATACACTGTAGACTGTAGAATAATGTAGTAAATAGTTTTTAACCGTAGGTCTTATTAGGGAGGAGAATAATCTTCACTCTCATGGAAGAGAAAAACTTTGCCTTAATGTCAAACAATCATGAAATGTGAGGAGATATTATTTGACTTACAATAACTTATTTATTAAGTTTCAAAAGTCTACACCAAAGTGTTTAAAATGGCTGGCTTACCGGTGTGGTGAGACCATTAATACAACCCGCAACTCACGACACAGTGAGCTCTGTGTACGGTATGAGTCAATCGCTGTCTGAGTCTCGAGTTGTCTTCGTCTACCATTTCTCAACCTTATCTTAACATATTAACATGTACCTGTTGTTCTTAAGTGTGACGTCAGAATCGAGTATAAGTCAGCTCTTGGTTCCCATTTATTTCACCCTCAGAGCCCCTGACACCAGGGGTCGTCCCGTTTTCCTCAGGAGAGGTTTTGGTTTTGTGGACTTCAAGGTACTTGCTATTGTTATCACCTTCAGGAACGGGTTTTTTCTCGGTTTCTACAGAGGACACCTCAAACTCCTTCTTCTTCTTCACTACTTCTTCTTCTTCTTCTTGAAATTCGCCGAGTGTGTCATCCTCGAGGACCACAGGGAGCTGCGAGGCCCTCCTCCTCCTGTTGTGAGTTCCAGTCATCTCGGAAATGATACACACGCAGGCTTGTCCGTGGATGATGAGCTCGTGGGCGTGTTGGTGGTGTTTGTCGGAGATGGGCTGAAGGAACTCCTCCGTGTGGTACTGCCAGTACTCCAGGGCACCGAAGATGGTCAGCAGCACCAGGTGTACAAGGTTTAACACAGCTGTATGGGACAAATGAAAGAAAAATAATCGGATACTTCAAGAATATAAAAAAAATATTCCACTTTTGTCTTTATAAATCAAATGATGTGAACATGACCGCACACGAGCTCAAAATATACGTCTTTCCCGCAGAGAAATCAACTGATAATACTGAACGTGGCTAATATTTGTTGGTTTGATTGAATTTAGTTATCCTGCTTAATATTTCTTTATAAACAATGACATCAAATTGTGCTGAGGTACTGTACAGTCTTGCGGGGCGTGATGAAGACTTACTGTGAGAGTACACCATTGAGTTGATGTACGGAGGAATGCAGGGGAAGAAATCATAGTTCCCCAACACGACCATCACGAGACCCATCACCTTCAGGATCGTCAGCAGCAGCAAGAGTGTCGCGTACTTCCTCTGTCAGTGAGAAGCATCAGGGTTAGGTTAGGTTAGGTTATCTGTTGAAAACCTTGGAGTTGATATCTTTCAATACTAACAGATAAACACAGAATATAAGTCCTCACTGATAAATTAAATCTGCAACTTCAACATCTGATAATATACACAAACTTCAAGTGAATTTAAAAAACGCTAATGGCACGACACCTCTTCTCTCTTTAACTGTCACACCGAGAATAACATATTACTTCACACAACAAAAAAATAAGATAAAAATAGACCTTGAAATTGAAGGCATGAAGGTGGTCTCTCACTAGATGACCAAGCACGGTGAAGGCATAGATGGCGCCCAGGAAGGAGACAGCGTTGAACACATCTAACCACAGGTAATCATAATTGAGGAGGACCTGTTGATACGTCAAGGTTTTATAAATATTCGTTCACATTTAAGTTCAGAACACCAATGCCATGAGTTACTAAGAAACTAAAAATATATATATACTTACACCTGTACATTCACCTCTGGGTTATTTCATCGTGTTTACCTACAGTATATAATTCATAATAGTCAATAACACCTGAGCTATGGGTTTAAGGTAATGTCTTAAAACCATTTACATCTCGAATAATCGTTTCCTACTCTCTCTCTCTCTCTCTCTCTCTCTCTCTCTCTCTCTCTCTCTCTCTCCCTCTCTCTCTCTCTCACACACACACAACCCCCCCCCTCTCTCTCTCTCTCTCTCTCTCAGCTACTCGTTGGACACTCACCAATCCACGCGAGTTACTCTCAGAAGCTGTCCAGTAGATTTCCAGGAAGAAGTAGATGGTCTGGGTGTATGGAAACTGCCACAACATCCACTTGAGCACACGCAGTCGAATCCTGTTGAGGGTGTAAGAGGAGGATGAGGTAACCCGCTGTGGGAGACGTCACGAAGTATTTACAAAACTCATCTGGAGGTGAAGTTAATGTGACCAGGGAAAGAGGGAAATTATCTTGAGCTGAAATAAATTGATCACTGTTGCTCGACTAAGTTTTTAAGATAACTCAGTAAAGTCTTGAAGATAACTCTGGAAAGTTTTCAAGATAACTCAGTAAAGTCTTTAAGATAACTGAGGAAAGTTTTCAAGATAACTCAGTAAAGTCTTTAAGATAACTCAGTAAAGTCCTAAAGAAAACTCAGTAAAATCTTCAAGATAACTTAAAAACTAAATTATCTGTCTATAAACTCATCTTACTTGGTGATGCTGGGCGAGGGTATGCATGGAAAGCATCGCAGGAGGCTCACGTGAAAGTCAAAGTGTTCTCCCTTTAGCTTAGACAACATGCCCTTCTCGCACCCAAACATCACAACAGTCAGATCCACGAAATGTCTTATACCCAGCGAGAAATACCTGTGTCGGGAGGGATAAAGTATTAAAGAAGGATAAATAGTGATAAAGGTAAGATTAACACCAGGGATAAATGGATAGTGGTATAGTAAACATTGATAACTCTTATTTTATATTCTTCGTCGTTGGTCGGATTTTTTAAGTTGGTCGGTTATAGATACGAGTTCGGTTCCTAATACGTGGCTTTTAAGAGAGACGAGTTAGTTTAGTCCACAAACGTGATAAATATCCTTGGCACGTACAACAACAATTCTCACTGCATTTTAAATTTCCCGAACCAGGATGTTGAGGCCTCGTCAGCAGAACCTCGCCAGCAGAGCGTCGTCAGCAGAACCTCGCCGCCAGCAGAGCGTCGTCAGCAGAACCTCGTCAACAGTTGCCTTGATACCAAACAGCACATACATCCCAACCAGGAAACAGAAACTTCCCTGATCTAAATTAATCAACCAAACATAACCCAACCAAACCACACGATCTTGAATAAAGTTTAATTCTAAGTTTAGCTTTACTGAACTGTGCCTACTGTCAGGAGTGGTGAGAGGAACTGACTGTCATGAGTGGTGAGAGGAACTGACTGTCATGAGTGGTGAGAGGAACTGACTGTCATGAGTGGTGAGAGGAACTGTGGATTAATTTCACAACGGTTTTATTTTTTTCCTTCTTCTCGTCACATCTGTATTCTCAGTCACTCGCTGTGTGCTAAGGATGTGAAGAAAGTTGTCACACACACACACACACACACACAAACACGTTATGTTTATCCGACCTTAACTAACCTTACGAGAAGAGCCAGATCCGTGTGTGTGTGTGTGTGTGTGTGTGTGTGTGTGTGTGTGTGTGTGTGTGTGTGTGTGTGTGTGTGTGTGTGTGTGTGTGTGTGTGTGTGGGACAACTTTCTTCACATCCTTCATCATACCTTCAACTCGCGGTGTTGTGTTGAAAAAATATTTACGTGGTTGAGTAGCTGGGTGGGGTGGAGTATATAGTTAACACTACATCTCAATATACTTAACACACATACTGTACAACTACGCCCAAGATCTAATATCCCGTGAGTTTTATTCATCAAAATCCATAATCATGCTTAAGACTTAACCCTTATATTTTACCTATGTCAAAAAGATGAGTCCCAGTAATATCAGTGTAATATTAAGTTCACTGAGCACGATCTGGGGCCTGTGTGTTGCAATGTGTCCGTAATAGAACAACACTAAGAATATCAACAATGTGTAAGTCCTGCTATTATAATGAAGATGATAATAACAAGTAGGTGTAGGATAACATATATATACAAGTGGTAGATAAGTGTTATAATAGCTAAAATAACAACATAGTCTTCGTTATATTAGTAGCAGTAGTTGTAATAGAAAACTCACACAATCTTAACAGCATTGCAAATGTTGTGAGCTCTAGGCACCACCAGAGCCAGGGTCGACATTAAGGCGCCCACCTGAAAAAGAGAGAGACGTGCACACACACATATATAGTCATGTATAATTATTAAAGACATACAGAGATAATTTCACGATATGTCATTAGTAAGATCGATATTTGAGGTATTGTATCATTCTTTTTTGTGTGGCTTTTAATCTATGCTTCACAGAATTCAGGAAAAAATAGGTTAATATTATTTTTTTACGTTATCTATGAGTCTCTTTCTCTATTTCTATCCTTCTATTCACAACGTCCTCAACTCACCGGATAGAAGCATGCGAGCCAGTTGATGTGTCTGCGATAGACTGTGTGAGTGTTTCTGTAGGTGAAGACGATGTGTTCCACGTAGAAGAGGAAGAGGGCAGCTGTGATGAGGGAACTAACAATGTGAATAGCTGTCTTGTACTGTCCCAAAGCTATCAGGAGAAAAAAAAACACACACACACACACAACATTAATATCCCGGTAGTTATTTAATGTATAACGAAATCCCCCAAAAATTCCCACGAAAGATTCTATAAAGGTTCGATTCAGGTTAATGGCGCAACTCGGGGGAACACCTGTAGAGTTCTTTAGCGCTGAGACAACAAAAAAAAAAAACACGTACGCACTTTTCTTATTATTCCACTGACGTTCAATTACACTCAGCGCCTGAAGATTATGTAGTTGGGGATCTCAGTTGATTAATAAATAGTAGAAATCATGACAACAAGAAATGCCATCACGAACTTCTCATTAGTAAATACAAATTCTCAGAAATTGATGAAAGTAAAGATTTGAAGGAAAATTTTATTCCCAGTTATAAAGTTGAGAAAATATCCTGTTGTAAAGAAATCGTGTAGTTGTTTTCTGCTTTGAAATTTATGCATCGTTTTTCCATACAAGCTCTGGTAACAAGGCAGCCACCAAGCACTTCAATTACACCTTTGTTTCCTTCTTCGTTATTCTGTTTCTTAGAATTGACAAGAAATTAATCATTATTTTTTTTGTCCTCCGAGGCGACATTAAAGGGCCGTGATGAGAGAGACTACTTCCCCTGCCTGCCACTGTCGCTTGAGCTACTGTCCACAAGAGTGAAAGCAAGAACTACACCTCCAGTTGGTATCACTTAACTCCTTGACCTGACTAACCACCTCGAGCATGAATGAATAAATTTTTTTCTTGAACTGTCGCTGTTTTTGTGCACGAAAAAAGACATACACACTTACATCTCTATCAATAATCGTAATAAAATAGGATATTATGATATAGTAATGTTGTGTTATAGTTCACTGACCGTCAATGTACTCAGGGACGGTGGGGATGTAGCCGTGTTGACATTCCATTGACTTATTCACCCACTTGTAGGCGGTGAGATCCAGCGCCTCGTCATCCTGTAGGGAGGAGAATGTTCAGGTTATGTCCAAAGTGTGATGACCTTTCCCCACAACACGGTATAAGGAGTAGGCGAAATATCTCTCTCTCTCTCTCTCTCTCTCTCTCTCTCTCTCCTTTACCTAGTTATGAATTCAATATTTTTCATTACAAGATTTTAATGGATATAAATGAGTGATCTAAGTGTTAAATAAACCATAGGAAATCTAGTAACGATATCAAAAGACCTTGTGTGTATGATGGTCATTAGTCTTGGCGGGTCCTACAGTCACATCTCTTCAGGTGGGATACTGTACACAACCTTCCACAGACAGACAGACAGATGCTCAGTTATTTGTAGTTTAATATATTCCAGAGAGTGTTTAGTCGCCCAAGGTGAGTCTATGTCCACAACAACACATTACAAAACACCACAAAACTTAAAATGCAACAAAAAAGAATATTAAACAAGTGTCATCTGTTAATATATGCGAGACAACACCTGTTTGTCACTGAGGAAGGTCAGGTGCCCTCAACAACAAGGTGTACACAGGTGATCAGGATTCAGAACTCATGGTGGTAGATGTTGGATTGTTTATAATACGCTTTATTTAATGAAAGCCACACACACACACACACACACACACACACACACACACACACACACACACACACACACACACACACACACACACACACACACACACACACACACACTGTAGTTTGAGCTGATCCCCATCTGGTTATTATATGTCGTATTTGTGTCACTTATATTTACTTGTATATTATTTGTAATTCATAACCCATTCCCCAAATATGTAACTGTATATTTTCAGCCTTCTGGCTGCCACGTTCTTTCAATAAACCGTTAATTATTATTATTATTATTACACACACACACACACACACACACACACACACACACACACACACACACACACACACACACACACACACACACACACACACACACACACACACACACACACACACACACACACACACACACACACACACACACACTTCGTTTCTCCCTATGGTTCTTGCCATATGTCAGCATCTCTGCCAACTCTGGCAATGAAATCACCTATAAGCACAACCTTGTCTTCACTGGGGATAGAGGTTAGCACTCTGTCAAGGTCGACGTAAAAGGCCTCCTTGATGTCATCCTCTGCATCCAGTGTTGGGGCGCATGCACTGATGAAGGAGGGGTGACGTGAGTAAAATTTAGTGGGACTCGGAGCGTCATGAGGCGCTCGTTGACCCCAGCAGGCAAGTTAGTTTCGGCCCCAAGACGTTTAGGCTGTCAAGGTTTAACTATTCAACGGCCTAAACATATCACGGCCTAAAATAAAAAAGGCCTATGGATCCCGAACTCTGTAAGAAGGATTGCCGAATGGCGTAGCCAACACCGTAATGCGCAATTTCGCTCCGCGTCTGTCTCACCCTCCCACAAGAGGGTAGAACCGGCCACCTGTTCTAGAAGCCAACCCTCGTCTGGGAGCCGGCACTCACTTATGGCCGTTGTAATGTTTTGACCGCAATGAGGATGGATAAACTTACTAGAGTGCTGTTGTCCATTCAGAGGCGATATATTTAGGGCACTTTTTCTATTACCTTCCCTAGTGTAGAGTCAGTCCTCGTAGCCATAAGATTCATGTGGGTTTAGAGGTTCTGATGATGATGGAAAGTATGATGAGTTGGATGATGACTGCACGTAGATGCAATACAAAGGTTAGAACCACCATAGCCGTTTACATACTACCCTCCCCCCTCCCTCCTTCCACACACACACACACAAACAAGGATAATATTTCCATAGCCATTCGCTGAAGTAACGGGAGCAACGAGAGAGTTACACAACATAGAATTAATCAGCCTTGTCCTCTCTCTCTCTCTCTCTCTCTCTCTCTCTCTCTCTGTACATAATTATACCCGAGGTTGAAATAAAAGAAAGGTTACCAATTAAAACACGGTTAAAACGCCTGAGTTGTATGAGCCACATAAGTTGACAGGAAGAATCGTAGTAGACAACAGCACCTCACTCAGCAACCACAGCAAGAGTCACAGCACCTCACTCAGCAATCACAGCAAGAGTCACAGCACCTCACTCAGCAACCACAGCAAGAGTCACAGCCACCTCACTCAGCAGCCACAGCAAGCAGTCCACAGCACCTTGAGTCACTCAGCAACCACAGCAAAGAGTCACAGCACATCACTCAGCAATCACAGCAAGAGTCACAGCACCTTACTCAGCAACCACAGCAAGTCACAGCACTCACTCAGCAACCACAGCAAGAGTCACAGCACCTCACTCAGCAATGCAGCAAGAGTCAGCACCTCACTCAGCAACCACAGCATGAGTCACAGCACCTCACTCAGCAACCACACCAGAGAGTCACACTCACAGCAACCAGCAAGTCAAAGAGTCCACAGCACCTCACCTCAGCAATCACACCAAGAGTCACAGCACCTCACTCAGCAATCACACCAAGAGTCACAGCACATCACTCCAGCAACCACAACATTAGTCACAGCACCTCACTCCAGCAATCACACACCAGAGTCACAGCACATCACTCAGCAATCACACCAAGACCACAGCACCTCACTCCAACCACACCAAGAGTCCACAGCACCTCACTCAGCAACCACAGCAAGAGTCACAGCACCTCACTCAGCAAATTTAGTCACAGCACTCACTCAGCAACCACAGCAAGAGTCACAGCACCTCACTCAGCAACCCACAGCAAGAGTCCACAGCACCTCACTCAGCAACCACAGCAAGAGTCACAGCACCTCACTCAGCAACCACAGCAAGAGTCACATCACATCACTCAGCAATCACAGCAAGAGTCACAGCACCTTACTCAGCAACCACAGCAAGTCACAGCACTCACTCAGCAACCACAGCAAGAGTCACAGCACCTCACTCAGCAATCACAGCAGAGTCACAGCACCTCACTCAGCAACCACAGCATGAGTCACAGCACCTCACTCAGCAACCACCAAGAGTCACAGCACCTCACTCAGCAAACCACAGCAAGAGTCACAGCACCTCACTCAGCAACCACACCAAGAGTCACAGCACCTCACTCATCAACCACAGCAAGAGTCACAGCACATCACTCAGCAATCACACCAAGAGTCACAGCACCTCACTCCAATCAGCAAGAGTCACAGCACATCCCACAATCACCAAGAGTCACAGCACATCACTCAGCAATCACACCAAGAGTCACAGCACATCACTCAGCAATCACACCAAGACTCACAGCACCTCACTCAGCAACCACAGCATGAGTCACAGCACCTCACTCAGCAACCACACCAAGACTCACAGCACCTCACTCAGCAACCACAGCAAGAGTCACAGCACCTCACTCAGCAATCACAGCAAGAGTCACAGCACCTCACTCAGCAATCACAGCAAGAGTCACAGCACCTCACTCAGCAATCACAGCAAGAGTCACAGCACCTCACTCAGCAACCACAGCAAGAGTCACAGCACATCACTCAGCAACCACAACAGGTGTCATAGCAACACGTAGGTCACATGAATATTCACAGCAGGAGAGTAATATTCTTAGCGCACAGAAGCGGAACACCGGAATGAGAATGAACTTATTGAGGGCCGAAAATGTGTTGAAACTGCGTATGTGTGCGTCTGTACGTGTGTGTGTGTGTGTGTGTGTGTGTGTGTGTGTGTGTGTGTGTGTGTGTGTGTGTGTGTGTGCGTCTGTCTATAAGTCGTATATTTCCGTCGTTAGAGCATATTTTGATGTCTGTTTTCCATCTGTTGTAGTGGTAATGGAATTTAATAATACCAGCCATCCCTAACATGAATTTATAGGAAAAGTATCTCTATATGCTAAAGAAACTAACATAATGTATGAAATGACATGTTATACCTCACCTGTGTTATTATATTCGCCGCGTTCAGCATAATTCTGTCCAAAACCCGCGTGACAGGAGGAAAGGTGCGAGTATGTGAGTGGGTTTCTTATACGTCTCACTCTGTCTACGAACCAAGTAGCACTGGGAGGCCCGGGTAGAAGGATAACGCCTGGAGTCTCTGAGCCCATGGGCGTCGTCCATTACATCACTACCAATAGTTATTCTCATTTTATATGACGTCATTATATAGTCAGCCAATTCGGAGTGTTTCCTTGTCATCAATGTCAGTAGCTCCTCCTATTGTTTACTGACGTCATTGTATGGTCAACCAATGAGGATGCTCCGTAGTGATCAATGTTTTGTGTATGGAGGACTTTAAATAGGAAGTAGCGATAATTTCCAGATATTTCTCTTTTGGGGGGAAACTTTTGACTGATTGTAAAATATAATACAGACCATGAAAACATAAATAAGCCAATAGCTGACCTATTCACCAATTATGTAACTGTATATTTTCAGCTTTCCGGTTGCCACGCTTTTTCAATATACCGTTAATTATTATTACTATTATTATTATTATTATTATTATTATTATTATTATTATTATTATTATTATTATTAATATTATTATTATAGATTCATACAAAACCCAACCCAACCCAACCCAAGCCAAGCTAACTCAAGCCAAGCCAAGCCAAGTCAAGCCAAGCCAAGCCAAGCCAAGCCAAGCTAACTCAAGCCAAACCAAGCCAAGCCAAGCCAAGTCAAGCCAAGCCAACCCAAGCCAAGCCAAGCCAAGTCAAGTCAAGTCAAGTCAAGCCAAGATTATAGGAAGCATGCTATCTGGTGTGTACTGCGTATCATTCACCTATCAGTATGCTAACAAGACAGACATCCTTACAGGGAGCCAAGGTTAACTAATAAATGGTTTAGTTCCGGAGCTTTAACAACTGTATGCTATAATTGTTAATATCTTATCTTGTCTATGATTTACTTCAAGTTGTATCAGTAAATACTACTTTTACTATGACTCACATTGCAATTAAGACTGTCACCTAACTACTGGTGTTAAAGTAAATGTTTGGAATTAATGTAGAGTCTCTCAATGTATTTTCAAAGCTATTTATGGAATGGGGGTTAGGTTAGGCTAGGTTAGGCTAGGTTAGGTTAGGTTAGGTTAGGTTAGGTTAGGTTAGGTTAGGTTAGGTTTGGTTAGGTTAGGTTAGGTTGACTTCAGAAAACCAGTTAACAGAATTTATGTATCTAACTTGAATCGGTTATTCGCCTCACATCACTTAACCCACCTACCGAAAAAAAACTCAGGTAAGTGGCCTCAGTTCGCGCTATGCTGTTCCTACTGAACCTCAACAACATATATCAGGTCATTAAGCACTTGACAAGGTGAGTAATTATACCTGTACACCTGTCCATCAACACTAAAAAAATAAAAATATGAGAGGACTTTAGTTACCCGAATAAAATGAAAGCAAACACCCGTATGTATATGGACGCACACACACACTCACACACTCACACACACACACACACATACACACACACACACACACACACACACACACACACACACACACACACACCACACACACACACACTCACACACTCACACACCACACACCCACACACTCACACACACACTCACACACCACACACACACACTCACACACTCACACACACACACACACACACCAGACAAAACAACCTCGAAGTGTTTTGACATATATGAGACGCTGGTCGAATAACAGATCTCGATTTAGTTTTTTGTTCGTCACCTTCACACTCGCTTGTTATTGATTGTCCTCATCAGCGTAGTTCCTCTTAACTGTGACTTGTAAACTAGCCTTGTAGCTAGTTAAACCCCCACGTGGTTAGAATCGGATACAAAAACCAATAGTCAGCCAGGTACAGGTAAGTTAAGCATGGTGTTGATGGTAAGTAGTTATAGAAACTTAGAGGAATTAATGGCTGGTATTTATATAGAATTAGATATTGTATTTAGAAGAACAGGTACAGGTGAAGGTATAAGTAGCAAATTAGATATAATTATTTCCTATATAGAGACCAGATCATATAATTTTTGTCTTAACTTATATATGAATTAAAATTATATATATAATTTCCCCTAACTTAGTGATTTATATAATTACAACCCCCGGGGAATTAAATTTAATCCGTCGTATAATTATTGAGAATTATCATAAGGAATTATATTAAGTTATATTTATTCAGTAAAAATCATCATACATATTTGTTTTAATTAGTTTGACATTTATATAGATAATTCAGATTTATAGATGAGGATGTATATAAATAACATACATTCATGATAGTTAAATATTCGCACACACACACACACCCACACACCCACACACACACCCACACACACGTTCTGGTTGTGCATAAGTGAGAGAAAGAACACTATATTTCTCTGACGTCATGACCACTTGTTAGTAAGAAAGAGACGTAAGGGACAAGAATGTGAGCCATGAGAGAGAGAGAGAGAGAGAGAGAGAGAGAGAGAGAGAGAGAGAGAGAGAGAGAGAGAGAGCATGAACAAATATAAATTCAAACTAATAAACAATTTAATAACTTTCTCAATCCTTGTTGTATGTGTGTGTGTGTGTGTGTGTGTGTGTGTGTGTGTGTGTGTGTGTGTGTGTGTGTGTGTGTATGTGTGTATGTGTGTGTGTGTGTGTGTGTGTGTTTCAAAACAAAGGAAGTTAATTACCATGGATACATAGTTTATTATTATTATTATTATTATTATTATTATTATTATTATTATTATTATTATTATTATTTATAGAGACTTAATTAATTAATATATTTAAAGGTAAACACAAGACTAGTGTAATATACAGAGACATTACCTGTATGTTGAGGTATTATAGAAATTGATGACTATTACTCAAATTTTCATAGAGTGAGCATCTTATTCACTCACATGACACACGACAACAACGACATGGAGCACGACACGATAACATTCAACACGACACATCAACATTCAACACGACACATCAACATTCAACACGACACATCAACATTCAACACGACACAACAACATTCACCACGACACATCAACATTCAACACGACACAACAACATTCACCACGACACATCAACATTCACCACGACACATCAACATTCACCACGACACATCAACATTCAAGACGACATCAACATTCAACACACACAACAACATTCACCGACATCAACATTCAACACGACACATCATTCACCACACAACAACATTCAACACACATCAACATTCAACACGCACATCAACATTCAGCCACGACACATCAACATTCAACACGACACATCAACATTCACCACGACACACATCAACATTCACCACGACACACATATTCAACGACACATCAACATTCACCACGACACATCAACATTCACCACGACACATCAACATTCACCGACACAACAACATTCAACACGACACATCAACATTCACCACGACACATCAACATTCACCACGACACATCAACATTCACCACGACACGCGACACAACAACATTCACCACGACACATCAACATTCACCACGACACATCAACATTCACCACATCACATCAACATTCACCACGACACATCAACATTCAACACAACACATCAACATTCACCACGACACACTCCAATGGTTGATTGAGATTCGGAAATAATTCATAAATATTAAACACGAAAACAAATCGTAAATTCCTGAAATCACTCGAGTTAAAATTAATCCCCTTGTAAATCAGTACAAGAGAAGAAGGACTCACTGATGATTACTCCTCTATGTTAGCTTCACTGTCCTAGATACATGTAAACAACCCCTTCTCTTTTATTTGTGTTACTCAGGGACATATACTGAAGTAGAGCGTCGAGGTACCTAAGGGAACTCAGTGTATTAGTATGAGTTACGGCACTATCCCCCCCCCTCCCTCCCTCTCTCTCTCTCTCTCTCGTATACTGATGCTCCTAGTAATGTCAAACTCGCCCTCTGGTGTGAATAGCAGTCATTATATCGGTTTGTTTGGCTGAGTGAATAAACACAAAGAGTATGTTTTAAGTGGAGGACTGTGGTCGCCAACCCTCAGATATAAGGACGGTATTCTGATTGGTTGATTGGACTTACACTGGATAATGATGGTCGTAACAAAGCAACAGACTAACCACCTGAGTGACGAGTGGTGGAAATGGTTGATTAAAGTGAACTAAAACTCTGTTCATCCCGGTAAGTTTGTAATAAGTACTGTAACTTAAGTCGCTGTAAGTTTGTAAAAGATAGAGGTCTTATATCACGATGGATATGTAACCTAGATTCATTATACATACGGCCTCATCCATACACCTGCACCATACCCGGAGAGATGTCTTAGCAACGGGTGAAGTGGTGTTGTGTGGTGTGGTGTGGTGTGGTGTGGTGTGGTGTGGTGTGGTGTGGTGTGGTGTTGTGTGGTGTGGTGTGGTTCTTTGGGGAATATTTCACGTTCTTAGATATTTAGTTTTCTTCGCAAATCAAAATTGACTTCTTAATAATAATTCCTAGATGTTGATCATAACCTAATTGAGAATCTGGTCACTTAGACAACCTTTAGTCAAACTCAATCTTTACTGCTGCATTAATAGTTATTGTTATTAAAGAACTGTATAGAATTATCATATAAGATCATCGTGCTCACTGAAGACCTCCTGACGATGAACCTTAAAGGCATGGCACTACTGGGGAACTAACACCTCCATTTAGGTTCCCAGGTCTCATACACAACAGTCATCGAGGTGGAAGGGGCTGTAACCACTGTGAGGTTCCTGCGACACAGTCATGGCGAGGTCACCATAACCCGATGTCTCCTTCAGTTGGTCATCAGAAAGGCTGAGCGAGACGTGAAGTTGAGCTCCTGACAGGTAACTGATAGATTGTTTCTTCTCCTGACGTGACGGCTCAACATGCACTGGGTTCCTAGTCAAGAAGTCGAGGTTGTGGTACTGGATGTAGGCAAAAGGACCCAGTATCATCATCTCCACCAGGTACAGTGTGTTCTCTACAGCTGTGAATAATGACCAGAAAACATGTTAAGAACTATGACAATGTCTATAAATTCCTCTAAATAAGACATCTAGTTCTTATTATTGTTGACAGTAAATACTTTCAAGACATAAATAATCTACATTGTAATCTTCCTCATCATTCTTTCGTCCGTTATTTATCATTAATGTATGATGTTAATGTTTACAATATCATTATAATTCTCAACTTAGATATTTTCTCTATGTTGATTACTTCATTCTAAATCATCCTCATGAGTTTCTCCATCTGGACTATGACTGTACACAACTTAAGATTTACCAAACTGACATTAGTAGTGTTGTTTGTTTACATAGTGATCAAGGGTTGTTAGGGCTAGAGAGTGGTTGATAATACGGTATAGTCGTCCTTGTTAAGCGAGACAAATCACATCCCATAACAACTTATATTACCAAGTTTCTCTGTATGTATGTATGTACAATTGCCTTCAGGAAATATGTTTCATTCCTTAATGGCGATTCTGTACAAGTGGCAATCTCACAGTGTTGAAAAAGACTCAAATTTATACCAGGTTACTGAATATTAACTTAAGAGAGTAAATCGTATCTAGGTAATGAAGTCTTCATGAATGGCAAGTAATGTAACAAGTTTTTAAGTGACTGTATTACTCTAACCTTAACTCATTACACGTCAGTCTGGTTGTAGGCACAGGTGGGTGGTGACGTCTCTATGATCCGAGTATTAGGTGGAGTTTCCCATTCACATGTGATGGTGTGATTTAAGAAGAAACTACATCATGGAAAACTAGTGGAGTCTAATTACTAATATAAAGGAATAATTTGAGAGAAAACCTAACCTAACCTAACCTAACCTAACCTAACCTAACCTAATCTACTTTAAGCATAATTTGGATATATTTTGATAATAAACGATCGCTTGAATGAAACTGAACAACTTTTATTCAGGTAAAATATATATCCATTAATTAAAAAATAAATAAAAATCATATTTGTCAAGAATCAGTTGTCTTTTCAAGCTTAACCAGCGATTATCCGTACATAGCTTATACACTTTGCTTTCCTTAGCTGGAAACTCACTTAGCTTGTACACTGATGGAGAGAAGACTCGTGAGATGCAGGGAAAGACGTTGTAGGTGGCGAAGATGTTGAAGATTAAGCCTTGGAGTTTGGTCAACCACACCAGAGTCTTTATAGAAAACAACTTCTTCTGAGGGTGTTAGAAGGGAGAACTATGTCATTTCCTTAGAGAATTTGAAGTCACCAAAACACATTATGATAAATATTGGCCCAATACAAATGTGACCAAACCTCACCTGATGACAATAAGGTCGTTTTGACTATTTATTTTTTATAGATAGTTAAATAGCTCAGGTAAAGGTCCATCATGTATAAAAAATAATGCTAGTGCGGAACAAAAGATAATTTTGGATAACACATTCCTGGGTTCAGTCTCCGGCCTTGACCACCAAATATGAGAAGGGTGTAATCTAGTGAGACCTTACCTAACATCGCTATATTCTCCTATACTAGTAAACAAATAAATAGTGACGGGATAACATATAGCCAATCGAGTGTTAAAGTTTGATATAAGAATGTCACCTATAGCCACAACGGTGTGATAGTGGGGTAGTGGTGTGGAAGCTAAGCAGCAGTGTGTTGCTGTGGTGATTAATTTCCTCTGCGCGGCGGCGAATAAGTTACTCATCAGCATAAGAATGAGTTACGTTGTTTGTCGACGAGAGAAGATAATTTACATGATGGAGTTGCCACAGACATACCCCCTCTCTTCATATCTTTGGTTTAAACGTAGAAGACAGCAAGAAAGAAGATGGACAATGAGAGATAACTACGAGAGATAAGATGGATCATGAAAAAAAGTGGATAGGGAAGAAAAAACTCAGGTCTTCGGGTCAAAAAAGGCGTATAGGAGAACTTACCACATAGCTATAATGGTCAAGATGTCCTCGGCACAAGATGGAGATGACATTGAGAGCATAGATGCCACAAAAGAAGGAGAGGAAGTCGAGAATGCAGAGCCACAGGTAATTACTGTTGGGGTCGATCTGTAAGAGGAGAGAGGGAAGGGACGTCTCATAGTCAAAGCTCTACACGTTTCAACTCTATTATATATTTATCAATCATAACTAAGGACACACACACACACACACACACACACACACACACACACACACACAGGGCCGGATTCAGGAGTGGGCAAAGTGGGCAGCTAGGGGCCTCCACAATCTGGGGGCCTCCACATATCAGGGCTGGTCGACTTGAAACCACATGAATGACTCCAGTCATGTCTCACTTTTGTGTGTGTGTGCGTGTGTGTGTGTGTTGGGAATTTGTACACTATCAATGAATATACAGTTAATTAAAAATTTCTCTATGTTCTAATTTCCTCAATATAACTGCATATGGCTTCAAAATTCTCCAAAGAAGTGTTCAAATTTAAAAATTTTCCCGGGGGGCTTACAGCGCCCCCCGGAACTCCAAGATGTTTAGGCTCGCTTCACTCGCCACCCCACCCTCTTGGGTAGTTATAATGAGGGGGGCCTCCACAGGTCTAAATCCGGCACTGCACACACAGACAAAATAATAATACTCGAGCTGCAAAGTACCGTGCCGTCCTCCTTGCTCTCAGCCGTGGACCAGAGGAGCAGTATCATAAAGTAGAGGGCCTGTGAGTAGGGCTGCTGCCACACCAACCAACGCACCACCGTCAGTTGACTTCTGCAGCAGTAATGACAACAATATAAGTGACTTTTTTTTTTAACGCTGTGTAAGTCTGACTAGTATTTTGACTTTGATGACTGACTGACTGACTGATTGACTGATTGGCTGACTGACTCACTGACTGACTGGTTGGCTGACTGACTGACTGATAATATGACAGAGTGTGAAAGTCGTGCTAAAAGTGTGAAAGGAACTGTAGGGGAACTCACTTGGTAACCTTGGGTGAGGGGAAGCAGAAGCAACAGCAGCAGAGGGGTCCCACCTTCAGATTAAACCTGCTGCGTTGTAGTTCATGAAGCATCACCTTCTCACTCCCAAACATCAAGGTGGTAAGGTCCATGAAGTGACTTATACCTGCTGACATGTACCTGTGTGTGGGCCCAAGGTGAGGTACACATGATTCTCAGGTGATTTAATGAAGCGTGTATGTATGAAGAATTTTTTTTTTCATATACATACATATCTTCAGGAAACATACATATACATACAGGTAAATATATAAATGTTTATTATTGTAGGTAATTAGATATGCCGATGAAGAATAGTAATTTACCTGGTGGAATTACAGTAATTACTACAGTGTTACCTTGAATACTAAATAATTCCAGGGTGTAACAATTGTCCTGAGTCGAAAAGAAAAGTGAGAAAAGTTTTACTAAGAGATAAACAAATATTTTATAAGACTTAGTATGACAAACTCATACACACTACGTTCAAGGTAACAAACACGAGAGATTGGTGTTCTAATTCTTCATACCTTTTGAACTATAACCTACTGTCTACTGCATGAGAATCTTGTTCAATGTACCTGGAAGATTCTCATTTTGGGTGGGTATGAAAAGCGGACGTAGGGTCGTGAGGTGAGGTGAGGTTAGGTTAGGTTCTTCACGTATTGTATTGACGAAGTGTACAACAGAGACTATGGGTAAGTACTTACGTGACTTTGATAGCCTTAGTGTACGTCTCTGCTCTCGGTATTACTATAGAGATCACACTCATCATCGTCATGAACTGAAAAAGGAAAACAAAAATGATTTATCGCTGTTACTGTTATTATCACTTATTAGAGACCAGTAGTTAAAAGGTAATGACAATACTCATGAAGTTTAACAAGAGTATAAATAACTATTATGTTTATGTACAGTAAGTGTTATGTTATGGAACCAAACACATCATCACACTGACCGGGTAAACAGAGGTGATCCAGATAATATGTCGGCGGAAGATTTTGTTGACATTTCTCACGATAAACACAATCTGCTCCAGGAACAACGCATACAACACCACTGTCAAAATCGATCCTCCAACCACCATAGTCGTGTGGTAGCCATCAAGAGCTGTGACGAGGAAAAATAAAGTTATGATAGGTAATAAGAGTGACCATTACCCGGGGAGTATAATAGTCTATAATGAAAATAATAAGGGATTATAGAGATATTTTGTGGCTCTGTGAACCTTGAGTACAGAGACAGGTTAAAGCATCTTAATTTGCACTCCCTCGAGAGACGTAGAGCGAGGGGCGACATGATAGAGGTGTATAAATGGAAGTCAGGGCTAAACAAAGGGGACATTTCAAAGGTACTCAAACTATCCAACCAGGAGCGAACTCGTAACAATGGTTTTAAATTGGACAAATTTAGATTTAGGCGCGAAATAGGTAAACACTGGTTTGGAAACAGAGTAGTGGATGAATGGAACAAGTTACCAAATATCATCATTAACTCGAATACGCTGGATAGCTTCAAACATAGGTTGGATGCTTATATGAGCAATAGGGGTTGGGTGTAAACGGGACTGCCCAGTATGGGCCAATAGGCCCGCTGCAGTTTCCTCCATTCTTTTGTTCTTATGTTCTTATGATAAAATACCTGAGCCGAAATGTAAATAAATTATTACTGTAACTGTATGTGTGTGTGTGTGATTCTTATCTTGATATACACACACACACACACACACACACACCACAAACACAAACAAACATCCACTTATACATTACTAAATCCCACAAGTAACTCTGATTCTAACGTCGAGTTTCCTCACCTTCCCTGTACTCAGCGACTGTGGGTAAGTAGCCATCTTCACACTCACTCTCACTTGACGTTGGCACTTCAGTTGAGTTAATCTCTCTTGATAGGATGTCACTTGACATATCTGAGGAGGGAGAAAGGTAGAGGGTTTGTTGAGAGACGAGAGATGATAGGTGTAAGAGAGGGCGAGGGGAGAATTCACTACAACAAAATAGTGAGTTTTTACGATTATTTCCTTGTGGGGGTGATAATGGCCACTTAGCCTCAGTATTTGTCTTCTGGCTACCCAACAACAAACGAGGGGTGGGGGGAGGGGGGGGGAGAGAGGGGAGAGGAGGGAAGGGGAGAGATGTTGATGCTCATGAAGACAAGGCAGAGAAAACATGGGTCAGGTGAGACGTGATCAGGTTATCAAACACAAGAGCCGACGTACAGGTAATACCGTAGTGAAGGTGACTGGGGGTACTGCAAGGGGTCCTTTAGTACATGTTTCGCCACAGTGATATGGCAACACTTCTTCTTTACTGTTTACATTAGGATTTCGACTCTAAATGATTCCTACGTTATGTTTTTTTTTTCCTCCAGAACTAAAAATACAAGAATATATTAAGTTATGACATGTTTTGGGGAGGGGTTTTCTGATCTATGATGGGTATTATTTTCTCACATCTATTAGGGAGAAAAAATATATTATAGGGATATTTTAGAATCTAGGTTCAAGTTTACTTACCATAGACCCTTCTCCTTCCTGTTTGATATCCTCTTCCTGTTGCCCACGCTTCCTTTAACTTCCTCCTCCTCCCCCCCCCCTCCTCTTACCCCTCGCCCTCCTACTCCTTCATTCTTCTTAGTTCCCATTCTCCCTACCACCCTTCCTCTTCCTCTTCTCTTCTCCATCTTAACTGTCTCGCATCCTAATCAGCGTCTCCTCTTTCTCTTCCTTCTCCTCCTTGGCCTCATTCTTAAATTATGTCCCCTCTCCCCCCTTTATGCACCTCACCTCACTACCTGTCTTCCTCTCCTTCCTTCTCCCCCTCCTCTCTCTCACCCTCTTCCCCCTCTCTCCTTTATCCTCTCCCCACTTTTCCACTTATCTGCCTCTCTGATCTTATATTTTTAACATTATTTTTTTCTATTACATACATACATACATACATACATACATACATACATACATACATACATACATACATACATACATACATACATAAACTGAACTACCAACTTTATTCTCGATGTTTCAGTTGTTTTCGTGAACATGTGATTTGATTATTAACATTCAGTAGCCGTCCCTCGGTGTTATTCCCAGGTGAAGACAGTCTCATTAACGATGGCTTAACACCTGGCCAAAACTTCGATCTCATTTAATGCTACTTTAACTATTAACCAAGGCTATAGAAGCACTGTAAATTATTGATTGCAAAGTATTATAATTTTTGGTGTTTTAGGAAATGTTGTGTGTAAGATTATGGCGTGGTTATTATCTGTGTATTCTGTGTAAGTGGTTGGATTATGGCGCAGTTATCATCTGTGTATCCTGTGTAAGTGGTTGGATTATGGCGTGGTTATCATCTGTGTATCCTGTGTAAGTGGTTGGATTATGGGGCAGTTATCATCTGTGTATCCTGTGTAAGTGGTTGGGTTATGGGGTGGTTATCATCTGTGTATCCTGTGTAAGTGGTTGGATTATGGCGTAGTTATCATCTGTGTATTCTGTGTAAGTGGTTGGATTATGGCGTGGTTATCATCTGTGTATTCTGCGTAAGTGGTTGGATTATGGCGTGGTTATCATCTGTGTATCCTGTGTAAGTGGTTGGATTATGGCGTAATTATCATCTGTGTATCCTGTGTAAGTGGTTGGATTATGGCGTAGTTATCATCTGTGTATCCTGTGTAAGTGGTTGGATTATGGCGCAGTTATCATCTGTGTATCCTGTGTAAGTGGTTGGATTATGGGGTTATCATCTGTATCCTGTGTAAGTGGTTGGATTATGGCGTAGTTATCATCTGTGTATCCTGTGTAAGTGGTTGGATTATGGCGTGGTTATCATCTGTGTATCCTGTGTAAGTGGTTGGATTATGGCGTAGTTATCATCTGTGTATCCTGTGTAAGTGGTTGGATTATGGCGTAGTTATCATCTGTGTATCCTGTGTAAGTGGTTGGATTATGGCGTGGTTATCATCTGTGTATCCTGTGTAAGTGGTTGGATTATGGGGCAGTTATCATCTGTGTATCCTGTGTAAGTGGTTGGATTATGGCGTAGTTATCATCTGTGTATCCTGTGTAAGTGGTTGGATTATGGCGTGGTTATCATCTGTGTATCCTGTGTAAGTGGTTGGATTATGGGGCAGTTATCATCTGTGTATCCTGTGTAAGTGGTTGGATTATAGCGTAGTTATCATCTGTGTATCTTGTGTAAGTGGTTGGATTATGGGGCAGTTATCATCTGTGTATCCTGTGTAAGTGGTTGGATTATAGCGTAGTTATCATCTGTGTATCCTGTGTAAGTGGTTGGATTATGGCGTGGTTATTATCTGTGTATTCTGTGTAAGTGGTTGGATTATGGCGTGGTTATTATCTGTGTATTCTGTGTAAGTGGTTGGATTATGGCGTAGTTATCATCTGTGTATCCTGTGTAAGTGGTTGGATTATGGCGTAGTTATCATCTGTGTATCCTGTGTAAGTGGTTGGGTTATGGCGTGGTTATCATCTGTGTATCCTGTGTAAGTGGTTGGATTATGGCGTAGTTATCATCTATGTATCCTGTGTAAGTGGTTGGGTTATAGCGTAGTTATCATCTGTGTATCCTGTGTAAGTGGTTGGGTTATGGCGTAGTTATCATCTGTGTATCCTGTGTAAGTGGTTGGATTATAGCGTAGTTATCATCTGTGTATCCTGTGTAAGTGGTTGGATTATGGCGTAGTTATCATCTGTGTATCCTGTGTAAGTGGTTGGATTATGGCGTAGTTATCATCTGTGTATCCTGTGTAAGTGGTTGGATTATAGCGTAGTTATCATCTGTGTATCCTGTGTAAGTGGTTGGATTATGGCGTGGTTATCATCTGTGTATCCTGTGTAAGTGGTTGGATTATGGCGTAGTTATCATCTGTGTATCCTGTGTAAGTGGTTGGATTATGGCGTGGTTATCATCTGTGTATCCTGTGTAAGTGGTTGGATTATGGCGTAGTTATCATCTGTGTATCCTGTGTAAGTGGTTGGGTTATGGCGTGGTTATCATCTGTGTATCCTGTGTAGTATCATTATCTGTGTATCCTGTGTAAGTGGTTGTGTATCCTGTGTAAGTGGTTGGATTATGGCGTAGTTATCATCTGTGTATCCTGTGTAAGTGGTTGGATTATGGCGTGGTTATCATCTGTGTATCCTGTGTAAGTGGTTGGATTATAGAGTAGTTATCATCTGTGTATCCTGTGTAAGTGGTTGGATTATAGAGTAGTTATCATCTGTGTATCCTGTGTAAGTGGTTGGATTATGGCGTGGTATTATCTGTGTATCCTGTGTAAGTGGTTGGATTATGGCGTAGTTATCATCTGTGTATCCTGTGTAAGTGGTTGGATTATGGCGTAGTTTATCATCTGTGTATCCTGTGTAAGTGGTTGGATTATGGCGTAGTTATCATCTGTGTATCCTGTGTAAGTGGTTGGATTATGGCGTGGTTATCATCTGTGTATCCTGTGTAAGTGGTTGGATTATAGCGTAGTTATCATCTGTGTATCCTGTGTAAGTGGTTGGATTATGGCGTGGTTATCATCTGTGTATCCTGTGTAGGTGGTTGGATTATGGCGTGGTTATCATCTGTGTATCCTGTGTAAGTGGTTGGATTATAGCGTAGTTATCATCTGTGTATCCTGTGTAAGTGGTTGGATTATGGCGTAGTTATCATCTGTGTATCCTGTGTAAGTGGTTGGATTATGGCGTGGTTATCATCTGTATATCCTGTGTAAGTGGTTGGATTATAGCGTAGTTATCATCTGTGTATCCTGTGTAAGTGGTTGGATTATGGCGTAGTTATCATCTGTGTATTCTGTGTAAGTGGTTGGATTACGGCGTAGTTATCATCTGTGTATTCTGTGTAGGTGGTTGGATTATGGCGTGGTTATTATCTGTGTATCCTGTGTAAGTGGTTGGATTATGGCGTGGTTATTATCTGTGTATCCTGTGTAAGTGGTTGGATTATGGCGTGGTTATTATCTGTGTATTCTGTGTAAGTGGTTGGATTATGGCGTAGTTATCATCTGTATATCCTGCGTAAGTGGTTGGGTTATGGCGTAGTTATCATCTGTGTATCCTGTGTAAGTGGTTGGATTATGGCGTGGTTATCATCTGTGTATCCTGTGTAAGTGGTTGGATTATGGCGTAGTTATCATCTGTGTATCCTGTGTAAGTGGTTGGGTTATGGCGTGGTTATCATCTGTGTATCCTGTGTAAGTGGTTGGATTATAGCGTAGTTATCATCTGTGTATCCTGTGTAAGTGGTTGGATTATAGCGTAGTTATCATCTGTTATTATCCTGTGTAAGTGGTTGGATTATGGCGTAGTTATCATCTGTGTATTCTGTAAGTGGTTGGATTTTGGCGTAGTTATCATCTGTGTATTCTGTGTAGGTGGTTGGATTATGGCGTGGTTATTATCTGTGTATCCTGTGTAAGTGGTTGGATTATGGCGTGGTTATTATCTGTGTATCCTGTGTAGTGGTTGGATTATGGCGTGGTTATTATCTGTGTATTCTGTGGCAAAGTGGTTGGATTATGGCGTAGTTATCATCTGTATATCCTGCGTAAATGGTTGGGTTATGGCGTAGTTATCATCTGTGTATCCTGTGTAAGTGGTTGGATTATGGCGTGGTTATTATCTGTATTCTGTGTAAGTGGTTTGGATTATGGCGTGGTTATCATCTGTGTATCCTTAATGTAAGTGGTTGGATTATGGCGTGGTTATCATCTGTGTATCCTGTGTAAGTGGTTGGATTATGGCGTAGTTATCATCTGTGTATCCTGTGTAAGTGGTTGAGGTGCCTCGGTGCCGTTTACCTGAGGTTTCCCACGTAAGAGCAAAGGCCCACCAGGTGTTGATGGCTGATGAGGAACAACTGGGATTGGCTGACA